AAGCATAAATACACACAACTAAAATAGAGACGAGAAAAATAACCCCGACAATAGGCAAAAATGAAAATTTTATAATGACCACTCTTTCCTTTTACAATTGGAAATTACCAATACTAGGAAAGTAAAAGAGAAAGAAGGAGAAATATTTGGGATGTATGAAATAAGGGGGGAGGGGCTCCTTTTATAAGAAGGAGGAGAGCCCCCAATTGAAGTTCCCACGGATGTGGGACTTCTTCCTTCACACTTTTTTTTTAAATCAATTCTTTTAGAAGAATCTTATTCATTACATGTTATTTTAAAGTTCAAGACATCATTAATATTTTCAATCATATTCTTACTTTCTACTAAAATTGTAGATTATATATATATATATATATATATATATATATATATATATATATATATATATATATGAAAATAAAAAATAATATATTTTTCATTGAGTTGTGTCGAGGTCTTTGAAAAAGACTGGTAAATCGATCCAAACTATCATCGAATACTGAAAAATCCACCGGTCAAAATTTCTTGATACTTAAATCAACGATTGCTTAATAGTGATAGGAAAATCATAATATTAAAATCGGAATATTATACGTTTTTATAAATAGAAAAAAAAACATTTCAAATAAGAGAAATAATATTTATAATAATATCAGGAATCCGTTTTGCTTTACGCTTATATCACAGTATATTATATTGTCTCTAAATTTATTTAAAATTAATAATGCACAATTAAGTAACTAAACCAGTTTAGTAGATATAAAAAGAAATGATTAAAAGTTATATATAGAACTAGTGTGTAGAATAAAATATAAGTAGGAGTATATCCTTGTTTGAAAGTGGTGAGCAATAATAATAATAATAATATATTATTAAGTTCCTCGAAGTTGATAAACAAAAGAGTTGACCTTATTGTGTGGACCAATAGATATGAATTGTTTGGTAGTTTAATGGGATTTCCGATGAGAATATATAGAGTTGAAGATGAGTTGAGTTAAAAAGTTATGATAAAGTAATAAAATGACAAGTAGTGGACATCTGGCGTAGCATGCCATCTTCTCCCTGCAAAAAAGGTGGGTATAACACCGACCAGGCAACGACTTTGGTGCAGTATTAATTAGTAATAACCCTTTGTTTATCACATCAGAAGCAAGTGCTGAAAACCACCGTTCACCAATTGAACCTACACATATATCATGAAGATGAGATAATGTTTTCTTTGGTGGGAGAAGAACCCATAGTTATTATATTAGTTAACTACTTAATTGAATAGATAAGTGTGAATAAGAAAATGTGAGAGAAAGAAAGTGATTAAGAGCATGAAGAGAATCTATATGTGTGCATGTTCAGGCACCCTAGACCTATTGTTTGTCATCCTCGTTGTGGTGGTGGGTGCCTTGTGAGGGACACTATTACTCAGCACCATGTGTTCCCTGTTTCATCTTCTTCTCTCACAATGAAGGGGATCTTGAAATACAAGCTTGGTCTTCAAGGGAATCCAATCACAATTTTTAAAAGTAGCATGCAAATGCAATGCATGAATATAAACCCTACACACTTCCTCATAATATCTCCTCACACTTTGTCCTGGGGGAATGTATTCTTCTTCATTCTATATTGCTCCCACACATAATTATTTTTCTTTTATCACCTTCTCTTCCTCTCTTTTCACTAACAAATTCAAATAATTGCCTATATTTCTGTTTTTAAGATTTTTCATTTTCATTACCTTTTATAATAACTCAACAATCAAAATTTTATTATCAATAAAATCATTAATCAATAATATAATACTATTTTTAATAAAAAAATTTAAGACATGGATCTTTCATTTTATATATTACTCATTTTTCTCATTTTTATTTATTGTGATTCAACAGGTATTAATTATAATTTATAAATTTTATACATTATTTTTTATTCTGTAATTCATAAAAAAAAACTCATCAATTATAAAATAATTGAAATAATTACTTTAAAATATATGGATTAAGATCAATTTTAAATTAAATTTAAGAAACTTAAAACACATTTATTGGTTGGTATACTTTTTTTCGATTCTTATATTTACAAGTACCAATACCAGGGATATTTTAAAAAAAAAAATCTATCATACAAGATGATAAAATTAAGTTTATTAAAATTTTCAAGTGATAAAAGAAATGTCGCAATAAAATACTACAATATACAAACCCTAAACAGTTTAACAAACACTATTATAGCACCTAGCGACAGTTGTTTTTCTTTTTTTCAAGAGTACCAAAAGATAGTTATGATATCATATACTTTGACGATTTCAATATTTCCATCATTTCCTTGTTTAAATTTGGTTATTCAAGAAAAAATAGGTACCAACATCACTCGTAATCATTAAAAATAAATAGGAATTCAAAATTGTAACATAAAAGAAGAAGTATGATAAAAAAAAAGTCAAATTTTTAAATTCTTAAAAAAAAAAAAAAATTCTAAGACCTAGAATTTATTGTTAGACTGTATCCTACAAACCAACCTTTGAACATTTGTGAGATGTTCTAATTATGGTGTGGTCGATAATATTTTTTGAATTTAAAAAGTTACGTTAATTTAAAATAAATAGACTTGGTGTATTAGAAGCATCTCTATACAATAATTTGATCATATATATCTAATTTATTTAAAATCTTCAATACATCTCAGAGATTAATATTTAGAACATGATAGATAACCTGATAATAATGGATGAAATGAAATACTAACAACCCTAACTAAAATAGGTTTTAATATCATATTAAAGTGTATAAATACTCATAAACTTAATTACTCTTATCAAATAAATCCATATTAAGAAGGTTGATAATCATAAGAAAAAAAACCAATGTATCTTATGGTCCATTAAAGTAAGTTAGATTCTTAAAACGAACACAGACCATTATTATTTATTATCCTCTTGGTTAGTATGTCTCAAATCGAACTTAAATGGTAGAGCTCTTTGGTATACACTCCTGCCAGCTAATACCAGATTTGAAAAAAAAATGAAAAAATGAAAAAAAAAAAACTATCCACATAATCGTCATTTTAACAAACCTTCATCAAGGTGTGTGTTAAACTTGTTAATCAAAAAGTTTATTTGTGCGTATTTACTATATAATATATTTTATGTCTCATGTTTTTAAGTTCATAATATTTTGGGATTAATTTTTATGTTTAAAATATTATTTATTTTCAAGTTTTTATACGTTTTATCTTTAAAGGTGTTTTTGTAAATTAAAAAAAAATTACTTTTAACATCGATTCGGAAGATATATGAGATTCGAATATATTATATATTGTCATAAGAACAATTTCTTAATTAGTTGTACCCTAATTATTTTTTTAATTGATTTGATTGAATTTATTTCTTGTTTTTTTTAATCAGTTCAAACTCCTTATTAATTGTGAGATGGATGTTTAAATTCCGACTAATTAAGCTTAATAAAAAAACACACATTGTTGATAAAAAATGTTGGTTAAAAACTAAAATATGATAAATTGTGAATCTAGTTGAATGAAGTTGACAAAATCTACCAACACTCTGAGCTTGCTTGTGCACACCATGCAGCACAGGTTTTAGAAGTTAGAGGGGTTGGTAGAACATGAAACCTTAATTGTCGTCACAGCATCATAACTTTTGCAGTCTCTGCATCTTATTATTTGTTCACATCTTTTTTATAATATATTAAAGTTTCTGAACATGTCAAAAACGGCAATTATGATCACAGTTTAAACCTTTGGTTCAGGGTTTCAAGACATTCAGATCAGCACTTCAAAGTTGGTCAAAATATCAAGTTGGGTTTTAAAAAATAAACAAATAACAAGAAAGTAGGATATTTATTGTTTATGAGTAATTTCCATTCTGCTAATGCTTCTATCATCTGTCTCGATGTTCGCCTTTAAGCTAATCGATTGCAAAACACATGCATTTTGTAATAATTATTGATTTCTGAGAAAATTGTAGGTTGAGCACTAAATGAACATTGTGTTGTGGGAAACCATATGAATAACGTGGTAACCATAAATAAAAGAAGAATGTGAAATGGATCCATGGAAGCCGCTCAAGGAAAACTGCTACTTTTCACGCCCATTGATTCTCTTCTTCCCCGTCTCATTTCATATCTCTTCCTCTCAAGATTTCACTTTTCTTTGTATTAAGAAAGAACTTTAGAAAAAATATTATAGGAAATTTTATTAAAATCAATTCACATGACATGTTTTGATATAAAAATAAAAGAAACTTGATTTATTTAAGAACGAGAATAGTTGGTCTTATTAACAATATTATTAAATTCAATATTGTTTTATTTAAAATTTTAATTTCTAATGATTTTACTCTTAAAAAATATTATATATAGGTTAAAAGATGTAGAATTACCATTGACATGATGTTCACATGGATTATTGAAATGTATAAGACTTCTAAGTATATATTTTGATAAAGGGACAGATCTTCTTAGGAGTTGAGGGAATTGTGGCACCCTAATATTTTGTAATTCTCATGTAATTTACGATTTTGGTCATCCAAACTTAATGAATATGTAATATATTTACAATTTTATTCTCTCGGTCACTCTTCAATTTTGTAACTCTCATGTAATTTATGATGTATCTCTCAAACTTAATGATTATTTAATATATTTAAGTATATATCTACAATTTTTTTTCACTCTTTCATCTTCTTTCTTCATTTTATATTTATTTATTATTTATTAATAATATATTATTTGGTCTAAAAAATGAATGATGAAGATTCGCCAGTACGAAATAAAGAAATAAAAGTAATGAGAACTAAGAAGTTACAAATTTTGAACTTCTAAACAGTTTAAAGTTGCAAAGTGAGACACGATCGAGGCGATTTATACAAAGATTTGAAGCAAGTTACTTAAATGTCTGTGTATCCTATTCGAATTGTTTATTATAGTCTTGGCTTACATATAGATCAGCTAGGGTTGTGTTGACCTTGAACCCATGTTTATGTTCCGATGAAGATGGGACATTTTGGGGGAACGCACGTACGTTGTTGATGTTCTTATTACTTTAATTTTGAGAGAATAAAGAGATAGAGTTTATTGCAGAATTAGATTTCTAATCTTTGTCTCCACTTTCAACTCCCATTGGATTTTCTCTCACAATAACTTTGCCTGCATTTCAATCTATCTCTACTTTCAATTTTCATTATTCCTCTGGTTTTAGTGTGACTCTATTTGTACAAATATAAACAAAAATTTCATTGGAGTTGACATAGGAATGCATTGAATATTAAACTAAAAATATATTAACAAAACACTTTTTTTATTTTAAGTTTCTTAATTAATTTCATTGTTTAGGGTTTGTTATTAGTTATGCAATTTTTTTATAATCACTAAAAATACATGAGAGATAATATCATTATGAAAACTTTACATCTTATCTTATACTAAACATTCTTTTATCGTCATCTGTTATTTATACTATATCAAATATAATAATAAAAAATTAGGTCAAAATTTTAAATAAACATAAATTTAGACACTTGTTTGTTTTAAAAAATATATATTTGATAAAATTAGGAACACTTATGCTTAATATTATAATTGAATAATTTATTGAATTGATATTTTCTTCCTTAAAAATGTAAAAATAAGAAAAGATCTAATAATCAATCTTTTATTTTTCCAAGTCATTTTAATCATATATATTGTAATTAAAGAATTTAATAAAATTAATCTCTGTTTTTTTCATTGGCAATTTAAAAGGTTTTATTTTCCTCTAATTTACGATGTGTTTTTTTTGCATTCTATCAATATAAATATAAGACATTTCCCAAAATTCATCAAAACATTCAAAATTATATTAGAAGTAACTATATATATATATGTATATTACATTTTCAATTAAAATATCAATGAAAAATACAAAATAAAACTTAAATTTATAATATTTTTTCATTGAATGTATTTAAATGAAAAATAGTTTAATAATAAAAAGAAGAGGATTATAAAATATATAAAATTAATTGTTTCCGTGAAAGGAGTTACGTGCACTCAATTTTTATTTATATATTCACAATTTTAAGTTCTTAAATTTAATGAATAATAAATGTTTTATATTTTTTATTATATATATATATATATATATATATTTATTATTTATACACTATATATTATTTACCCAAAATGTGCCCGTTCAAATATTAAAAATATATGAATACTAAAATTAACATGTATGGTGCTGAATCTTAGAATTTCAAATCTATCCAAACTGCAAAAAGAAGTTCAAAGAATGAATGATGACAGTTTCTGAGACCAAAGGTGATAATAGTCCAATGCAAAATCATCATGCATATGCATGCACATACAGTGGGTACATGAATGTGTGTAAATGGACAGCTGGCCACCATAACAAATTCATTAAATGGGATGAGTGGGTTTATATGATTCACAACAACATTAAAAACATCAACTAAAAAACATGCATAATACTAAGTAACAGAATCATCATGCATGCTTGTAATTAATAACGTGCGATTAGACATTAAATGTGCTCAAGACTTAACCCAGTTTTATTAAATTTTATTGTATTTGAAGTTTTTAAATAATGTTCCATATATTTTTGAGAAAAAAAAATAATGTAATTCATTTTGGGTTTTTATATACAAATATTTAATTATAAAAATAAGATTATAAGAAAATAATATATAAAAAATATTTAATTATAAAAAAAAATTGAATAATATAATATAATGAAAAAAAGTTTTATAAACTAGAATCATCCTATCTAAATATTTAACATAATTATATATCTAACATGTAAATTTGAAATTATTGATAATAAAAACAACGTATATTAGGATGAAATTATTGATAATAAAAACAACGTATATTAGGAGAAGAGTAATCCGTAAAAGAAATGTACGAGATCTTATACAAAGAAACTTGGGAGGGGAACAAGGAGATTTTTAAGTGGTATTGAAAAATTAAAGCGGTACCAAAAGTCATGGTCACAGGATAGAAAATTTTTCAAGATAAGATCCCTACTAAGGTGAATTTAGTTAGAAGAGGGACAATTATAAGTGATTCAAAATGTGCTTTGGGTGGAGTTGAGGATGAAACATCCAATCATCTTTTTTTCATATGGTCTCAAATGAATAAATGTATATTCAAAAATTAATTTTTGATGTGGAAGTAGGATTTAGTAAAGAGTGTCAAATTCATTGTTTGGTGTGCTAGAGACCAGAGAGGAGTGAGTTTAGCAAATTCTGATTAATTTTATGAACCGGTAAGATGTCTGAGATTAATTGCCCTATAGCTTCTTTTCTCTCTGTGTTGACTGATATATGTTCTAGCAGGTAATTGAAGATAGTCTAATACAAAGATGAGATCCCATACTAGGAGATGAATGGAGAACCATTTGAGGTTTATTCGGTAGAACGTTTCTGTTGCGAGGGCTGAATGGATGACAGTTGGAGAAGATAGAGCTCAAAAGGGATCCACCGGCAAGGTGCGCCGGTTCCCACAACCGCAGAAAATCAAAAAATGAAAGTGATGAAGTTTGTTGGGATTCCAGGGTATGCCCAGAAGATATGGAAGTTTAGTGGAATTGGGTAGAGGTCTAAAATGTCTTTATAGGTAGGTGATGCATGACCTTGCTCTAATTTTATTTATCTAAAACTAGTTTTCGTCTGGTTATTATATTTGAACTTATTACTTGGACGTTTGAGACTCGCCCAAATTTGTGTTTTAGCATGTTGTTTTGTTTTCTTTCATCTACTTTCTTTCTAGTGTATTTGGGTTAAAATACCCCTTTTATACTTCACTTAATTTTATTCTTTGTTACCAATAATTATATATATATATATATATATATATATATATATATATATATATATATATATATATATATATATATATATATATATATATATATATATATATACTTTGCGTGTTTCTTAAAGACAGTATGATTTTGAGGATAATAACATATTTATAGATAAAAAAAATAAAGTTATTTATAATAATTATTTTAAGGTGCATGTTCCCAATATTACTAGTTATATATCTGTAATTGTAGTTAGGGGACTAGGTAACCAAGTTGAAATTTTCAATCTAGATTTTTTAGTGGTATTAAATACTTCAGTCTAAATTTCAATACTTCACTAGAACATTTAAGTACTCATAAATTCATGTAAAGATTTATTATTTATAATTATCCATAACTTATTTGATCAATACCTAAATAAGTTTAATATTAACATTAATAAGTGTTCCTTATAATATATACATGGTTAATAACATCATTGATCAAAATAATGAAACATGCAAAGGATCAAGATCACGAAAGTACTGTCTTCCAAGATAATATACAGTAATTTTCATCTTTTGGTTTACTAAAAGTAATTTCCTTTTTGAGATTTATGATTGTGACTCTTTAAAATTTATGCAGTCAAATGATTTTGGTATTATCTAGAAAAAAGTTCTAGCAAAAGGAAATATGCCAATCACATTTCGTTAACATTAACTTGTGTTTCTCACTAATCAACATCTAATCATTTGCTTTTTAAAATTTATATAATCATTTCTCTTTGAAATCACAGGTTTTCCTTAACATTAGTGTTTCTCACTAATTAACATCAAATCATTTTCTTTTCAAAAATTATAATCATTTGTCTTTGGAACTCATGCAGTCAATGTTTCTATGATATTTATTTTATACTATATATACACACACAGAAAGTTACTAATATTAACATAAAATATGTCAATTACAATATATTACAAACATTATAATATTGCCTAAAACCATTTGTATTTTAATTATACTTTTAGAAACTAAAATTCGAAAACCATTATAACTTAATCAAAACATATATTTGATCCAATCAATCAATATGTATGTTAATGACTTTTTACTAATTAGTTCATATTTACTGAATATTTTTTATTCTGTGCAAAAAAGTAATACATCTTATAAGGAACATCAATTAATAATTATATAATTAGTATTAAAGATCAGAAATATGAATTTATTAGAAGTAGTTTCAGTATTTGGTTCCTTTAAAATCTAATAATGGATAATAAGAAGTATTTATGGCAGTAACTTATGATGTCATCAGTGGTGATGATGGTTGTATCTATAATAAGGAGAAATTGTAATGTGCAGTGTTGAAGTTACATCCTCCACCCCATATTCTGTTAAAATAAAGAAAGAATCCTACTCAGCTTGAGGTATAAAATAATATGAATGATTAAACATTGGGATCAAAGGATGAGTGCTGGCACTGAGACTTATTCGTCTTGATATAATGATGATGTTGTATACACCATGCGACGCGGCCAGAGGAGGAAGAGGGTCCCATGAATATTTTTGTTTACAAAGGCCATGCCAGTAATGCAATCCCAACCAATTTTTGATTTTTGACATGGTGAAGTACTACAAGTACAGCCATGGATGAGTTAAGATTGTAAAACCCAAGTCCTTAATCAGACGCCAATATCACCTGTTTGCTCAGAAATGCATCCTAACATTCGGACAATTGGAATCAAATCAAGGCCCAATAATGCACTGAGAGTATTCAATTATTCATTATACAATAATGCTAGTTTTGATCTACAAGGAATCACTGACCTGACCAAGGCAAAGAGGAAACTGAAGCGATTTGATGTTGCCATGTTATGCTTAATGATTACAAAAAGGAAATGCTGGAATGTCAATTGGCGAAGTTGACAACCTTATTAAATTAGAGGTAAATGATTGAGTAAATAATTATATATTGAAGCCTTGACCTTGCTTCCTTACCCCTAAAACTATGCCTGCAAATCTGAGTTTTAACAGTATACTATTCGAAATGGCAATGGTCACAAAGGAGCACGTCATGTGTGAATTCATTGGTAGAAGTTCTACCAAGCAATGTGGGGTAGTCAACATATGATTAGATTAGTCGGCACAGATTTAAACCATACGCAAAATGATCATTTCAAACTCTGCTAAAGGATATATTAATCATACATAATATATTACTATGAAGATAAGAATTTCACATGAATCAATACCAAAAGGAAAAGTAAAAGTAACTTTTCCCAAAGTATAACTACGTATGCAAATAGTGGTTTACTGGGTAAGTGATTGGGTTGGTCTAAACAATATGAAATGAAGTGAAGCACAGTGTTTGACACGGATTGGTAATTATTAATTAACAAACAGATCTGTTGCTAATTATTAAGCAATAATCAAACCATCCTTGGAGTGATGAACAAATGGCTTAATTAATGGTGGGATAATTAATATGATGCATCACCTGAAAAGTGAGGGCCTTTGTTGTAGACTTGTAGGCTAGAAACAAGCAGTAACTCCCAAAGCAAGCATTGACATATGAAATTTTAATTAAATGTGTCACCGTCTGTGACCTAACTCTAACGGCTGCTTACTTTAAAAGGGAACATATACTATTGGTTGAAATCCAACTATGTATCCAATAAGGTGGGAAGTTTTACTATAAATAGCCATAGGTACCTCCCATAGAATCCACAGCACAAAAGAACTAGCCAACCTCAGACAACTCTCACACTTGCACTCTCTCTTTTCATCACTTTTTTGCACCTTCTGATCTAATGGCAGTTCCAGTGATTGATTTTTCAAAGCTGAATGGGGAAGAAAGAGCCAAAACTATGGCTCAGATTGATAATGGGTGTGAAGAGTGGGGATTTTTTCAGGTACTTATTATTTATGTTCCAAAGAATGGTTCTTAATATGTTTATAACACCAGGTTAAAACATGTTTATACATATCAAAACTCATACTTTGTGTTACAGTTGATCAACCATGGCATTCCAGAGGAACTCCTTGAGAGGGTGAAAAAGGTTTCCTCTGAGTTCTATAAGCTGGAAAGAGAGGAGAATTTCAAGAACTCGACATCATTGAAGCTACAAAATGATTTAGTCGAAAAGAAGGGTAGTGAAAAGCTGGAGCATTCGGATTGGGAGGATGTTATCACTCTTCTTGATGATAACGAGTGGCCAGAAAGAACACCAGGCTTCAGGTATATAAATAAAGCAATTCAACAGTTCTTCATACTTAAAGAAAGTCAAACAATAACAAAAAAAAAAAAAAAACTTCATCTCACTAGGTGAAAAGAGAGTCAGACATCACATAAAAAATTATATTTCATATAACGAAGGACACCACCTATAATTGCATGCACACTCTCTTCTGTCATACTTGCTCTTATATGCAACAAAATCATGTTCTTTTGTGCAACTTCAAGCAAATTGGAGTAGATCAGAATTCAATCCATCATACTTATGGTGACTAAAATCGGTCATTTCACCAAAACATGGATGAAATAGAAGGAAACCATGAATTTGAAAACCATGGACAATGACCATAGAACATACTAATTAAGTGGTTTCATGTCACGACACAATAGGTAGAGCTTCCACATGATTGCATAACTGAATTCTTACATGGATGACAGGGAAACCATGGCGGAATATCGGTCTGACTTAAAGAAATTGGCAGAGAGAGTGATGGAGGTGATGGATGAGAATCTGGGCTTACCCAAAGGATACATCAAGAAGGCACTGAACGGTGGAGATGGAGGAGACAGTGCCTTCTTTGGCACCAAGGTGAGCCACTACCCTCCCTGTCCCCATCCAGAGCTTGTGAAAGGTCTGCGGGCTCACACTGATGCAGGAGGTGTCATCCTACTCTTCCAAGATGACAACGTTGGTGGCCTCCAGATGCTCAAAGATGGGCAATGGATTGATGTGCAACCTCTGCCAAATGCCATCGTGATCAACACTGGTGATCAGATTGAAGTCCTGAGCAATGGTAGATACAAGAGTTGTTGGCACAGGGTTCTGGCCACTCCAGATGGGAACAGAAGATCAATTGCCTCCTTCTACAACCCATCATTCAAGGCCACCATATGTCCTGCACCACAGCTCGTGGAAAAAGAAGACCAAGAAGTCGATGACACTTATCCTAAGTTTGTTTTTGGTGACTACATGTCTGTCTATGCTGAGCAGAAGTTCCTTCCAAAGGAACCAAGGTTCCGAGCTGTTAGGGCCATGTGAGAAAACCACTTGCTTTCTGCATAGAAAATACATTTGCTCCTCCCTCCACTTTCTCTTTTCTTTATTACAAGCATCATCTTTTCTTTGTTTACGGGTCTTGGTACTGTAAGACATGCTTGATAGTAGCAAAGAATCCCATTTGGTTGTCATTCTCTTCATAAATTTCTCCATAATCCAAAACCACCATGGGTATCTAGTATTCCTTTTTTAGAATTTTGCTTTATGGCATGGGGAGAACCAGTGTGCATCCATCTGTGCTTGCATTGTATAATAGTTCTATTACATAAATTCTACTAAAAAGTTTGCCACCATAAATTTCTCTTTATTCTTCCCTTTGTATATACTGTTGTCTTGGTCTAGTTTCAGTTATTATCCACTTACACGAAGTAGAATAAACGCGACCATTTTGTAACATTTCCTAAAATGCATACAAAAAAAAAAAAAGGACAAGCCCGGAGCAGATATTTCTCTTATTTTTATTTTTTATTTTCAACGCAAAATTACTCTAAGTTTAGGACAAGTGGTCGCCACTTACCCTCATGCATGTTATGGAAATATCATGGAAATATCGAAGTATATATTTTCCTTTGTTACGTAGACAAATACGGATTTTACAAGTCACTAAATGACCAAAAACTTTTATATCTTAGAATCCTTGTAAGGAAATTGTCAATACTTTGGCAAAGTTAGTGTGAATCCAGTTACATGAAATATACATATATATATATGCTTCCCGGTAATTGCATGTTCAAACAGAGAAAAATATCTAAGGAGAGTGTGAATACGGATCAGGAAAGTGTCCAGCGCACTACGTGTGTGTTATTTATATTAAAATGAGGCTAAGCGCAGCCAAATAGTAATAGTATCTCAACTACTACGAAAAAAAAAATATCGACTATAATTATGAGAAAAAAGAAGCCTATGGTCAGGCACACAATGGTGAACTTTGAAACGCACCAATGAGCTTCTGAGATCAATTTACAGCTTTAAATATCAATCTTATTGCCAGCGGGGAAAACTCGATCTTCTGATGGGAAGCCAATGTTAGAATTTCGCAATAACTATTACTCTATAGCAAAGTTCTGCAATCTTATTGTATGATCTGTACAGGAGAAGATAGCATCGTCATTCTTCACTTTCATGTGCTTTATAGAGCCTTTTGATCAAGCCTTTCATTCCAATTTAGGCAGCGAATTAAGCTATGAAACCAATCACCTGTTTGATCAAACTTGTTAACTGTTGGAAGTGGATGCTGACTCATAGATATTCGTACTGAATCTCCTCTAGAAAGTTGCTGCCTTCTCTTTCCATCAAATGAAACCCAGACATTGCTTCTTGCGTCCTCTGGAATCTGTTATAATAATAAACCTGTGTCACTCATGTTCTAATCATAAAACCCTACACAATCAGTTAAACCCTAAATTTACTGATTATAATTACCATGTGATGTTAACCATGTAGTTTTTTCAGTGTATGCCTGAGATAATTTAGCATATCTGAAGAGAAACCTTTTTAGGGCAAGGATGCATCATAAGCAATGAAAGTGCCACTTTGGTAAAAAGAACATCCACTATGATTTTTCTCCAGATAGAGAATGACTAACTTCACCTTTAATTCAAGTTGTGCAGAGTCTGGAAGTATGACTGGTCTAAATGAGAGGGAATGTGGACAGATTGGAGTAAACAGCATGCACGGAACGTTAGGATGGACCTGCAGATTTTTTTTTTGTTTTTTTATCAGAAAAACAATCGACAGAAACAGTAAATAATTCAGATCAATTTCATACTGTTACAGAGTTGATACCATCCCATTAAAAGAATCACGCACAAACAGAATTTAAGAATTTATATTAACGGAAAGGAAACTATACAAGACTATTTCCGTGAGGTTTCTATTCTAATTTAAACTCTGATTAGAAACTCCTGGGATAATGACTTATCTCGCCAAGTAGAACAAATTTACAGTATTACATCTTCACACTCCTTTTTCTAGCCACGTTCATTATTCCACTTTCCACATGATAGAAGTCACATACAAAAGGAAACATCAAACTGAGCATTTTCTTCTTTATGAAATAGTATAATAAGTATAGATTATGAAACTTCCTTTGGGAAAGGTTTCAGAAGGAAGAAGAGGAAGACTCTATTTAATCAAGTTCTTTATTTTACAAAATGAGGACAAACCAAAATGGAGGTTTGAAGGAGAAAGAGAAACCAGTTATCTGCAACTCACTCAGCTTTGTCAAACGTCAATCACCAACATTCGGAAGTAGATAAAATAAGATTGATGATTGCAACTTCATATCACTAGTTAAGCTACCTGTTGTAAATAGATGCTAATCTAAGATAGAATCTCCCTGTATATATTCAGAATATATTTGTAATTATTAAAATTAATTTTATCAATCTTATTTTTTCCATATTTCGTTTTATAAGTTTGGCAATAAATAGGGATTAGTTTTCATATTTCCTTTAATAAGTTTAGCCAATAAATAAAGATTATAACTTGTGTTAAAAAATAATCATTAATATCCTCGTTTCAAATCTGACACTCATCGGGCAATGCAGTAAAAGTAAGAAGACATGTCAATACAATGTTCACCATCCACTGAATGTAGAAATGCAGGTTAGGAAATATTGGTTCAACCAATAGTTAGTGTTTGTATGCAGTGTTTGTCAATGTTAATGTTAGAAAGGCTAACCTAACTCAACGTCTGTTGCAATTAAACTGAGTTGAAATCTCACATTATGTAGAAATGGTAAAATTAAGTAACATATAAGTAAGAACAACCAACAAACTTAATGTTTTAAAATTTTGGATTTTTTGAGATCTGTTGTTCATGTATCTTTTGTATGTTTTGTATGTTCATTAGACTAGGGTTAAGGGTTTGGGCTGAGACCCATATCCTCTCTATTGTATCTCTTTTTTTATAAATATAATGTATCAGTCATTGTACTAAATCCTAAATAAGTTTTTTCAAATTGGTATCAGAACGGGTAAGATTCCGCACTGATTTTCAGTCACCTCTGTCATTTCTAGCCACCATGGGCCGTCGTCTACCGTCATCACCACTGGTCATCGTCTCCGTTTGGACCGGTGAATAAAGGGTTTTGTGCGCCTCGAGGAGCACGACCCACCCCTGTAAGTCGCTCCTCCGTCAGCTACCCCACACGTCGTCATGCGCGGTCGTCCCAAAGAACCTTCTCAGGTGCATGTGTCCTACACGCCGCCTTCCAGTGGTTGGAATCAAGGCCGACCACCTCCGTTTGACTCGTCGGCGTCCTCCGAATCTAATGGTGCCCTTAGTTTTCTGGTTTGAGAACTGTGTGTGAAAGGTCCCGTGGGTAATCCTATTCGTTGACTTTATTTGTCTTTTCAGGTTCAAATGGTCTCAAACACTACCTTCACCTTCTATACCACTTCCACCATAACTAGTGCATGGCTCAACTGGAAAATTACTTATCCTGGTCTGCATCCGTTGAGCTGTGGTTTCTCGTCAGGGGCATCACGACCATTTGGAGATGGATGTAGACTCTACTCTATTTCCGCTGCAGAAAGGTCTCAGTGGGAGAAAATAGACTTCCAACTTTGTGCAATCTTATGGCAGTATGTGGAACCGGAAGTTCTTGAGCTTCTCAGGTCATTCAAAACCTATTCTTCCTTTTAGAAAAAGGCTCAAGACATTTTTGTTAATGATATTCAACGTCTCTTTAATGCAACTCAAAGAGTGACGTCACTTAAGCAGACCAAACACAACAAGATGGTTCACATTGCAAAAGCTAGGGCTGTTGGGGAAGAATTAAAAAGGTTTCTTGTAGCAAATATCTTAGAGGAGTTAAACACCAAACTCGATAAGCTATATATGGTTCTAATTTTGAGGAGTCTGATCATGTACGTGATCAAATCCTAGCTGGCGATCAGGTTCCATCAATGGATAATCTTGTCACTAGGTTGATTCGGGTTCCTAATCTCATGGAAGATGAGAATCAGGTGGAGACTGTTGAAACTTCTGTTATGGTTGCTCCTCGTGGTCGATGGGAGAATGCAACAGTCGAGAAGGACGTAATAGTACGAAAGTTATTACTCAATGCTCTTATTGTTAGAGGATGGGACACACGCAGAAAAATTGTTATTCCTTACATGATTTTCCAGACAAGATTGCCCATGCATCTAAATCAGAGAAGCCAAATATGAAGATTTTTTATGACGAATATCAGGAGTTTTGAAGTTCAAATCTGGAAAGTTTAGCAGTCAGGGTCAATCCTCTTCAATGTCAAGTGTTTCAACTGCATGCATTTCTCAATCTGTGGAAGGTTAGAATCCATGGATTCTTGATTCAGGTGTCTCTGATCATATATTTGGTAATAGTTCCTCGTTTTTCTTCATATCCTATTCTAAAATTCCTCACTTAATCATTGTAGTTAATGGATCTAAAGTGAAATCTCAAGGAGTTGGTCAAGTTCCTTTAACCCCATCTCTAAATTTAAATTTTGTTTTTTTCATTCCTAATTGCCCTTATAACTTGATCACTCTAAGTCAACTTACTCGTTCTTTGAATTGTTTTGTAACCTTTAGTTCAATCACATGAATCATGTGGTCTGTACTATCTGAAACCAAGTCCTTCGATGTCTTGTCTGGTTTCTCCTGCCCCTAAACATTTGCATGATCGTTTGGGTCACCCAAGTCTATCTAAGTTGAAAGTGATGACTCTTAATCTTCAACATCTTCGAGTTTGAGAGTGTGAATCTTGTCAATTAGGAAAACATGGTAGGTCTACTTTTCCTAAACAGTTTGAAACTCAATGTAATTTTCTTTTTCAAATATTCATTCTGATGTTTGGGGACCGAGTCGTGTTTCCTCTTTTGGCTTTCGGTATTTTGTGACCTTTATTGATAAATTTTCTAGATGTACTTGGATTTATTTAATGAAAGACAGATCTGAACTCTTATCCATTTTTGTATCCTTTTTCAATAAAATTAAAAATCAATTTGGAAAGATAATTAAAGTTCTAAGAAATGATAATGCCAAAGAATATTTCTCTGCCTCCTTCTCTTATTTTTTATCTTCCCAAGGAATTTTACATCAATCAACTTGTCCTCACACCCCACAGCAAAATGACACTGTAGAAAGGAAAAATAGACACCTTATTGAGACTGCACACTCTTTAATGTTGAATGCTAATATCCCTGTTCATCATTGGGGAGATGCAATTCTCATTGCTTGTTTTTTTATTAATCGGATGTCATCTTCCTCTCTTAAAAATCAAATCCCACATTCTCTTATCATCGCAGATGATCCTCTTTTTCATGTATCTCCTCGTGTATTTGGTTGAACTTATTTTGTTCATAATGTATCTCCAGGTCTTGATAAACTAAGTGCTAAGGTCATTAAATGTGTTTTCTTAGGGTACTCTCGCCTTTAGAAAGGGTATAAATGTTATTCTCCATCTTCCAAAAGGTGTTATATGTCTGCTGGTGTCACCTTCTTTGAGGAAACACCCTTCTTTTCTTTTCCCATGGAAGATGGTTGATCAATTCAGCAAGTTCTGCCTATATCTTCATTTAATCCACTTATAATACCTGACCCTTCCCCAATTCAGTCTACAGGTCATAATAATACTCCTCCACTTCTCACATATCACCGCAGGACCCCTTCACCTTTACCAGTTCCTACAGATAATTGTGATCTAGATTCATCTCCATCAGCTTCTCATTCCATGGATCCTTTAATCTTATCTCTCACTTCAAATTCTGGCTGGCCTATTGCACTTAGAAAAAGTACTCGTTCCACTCGAAATCTCTTTCCTATTTATAATTTTTTAAGTTATTATCGTCTGTCGCCTTCATATTTTTCTTTTGTTGTCTCTTTGACTGATACGTTTATTCCTAATAATGTTCATGAGACACTTGATCACCTTGGATGGCGACAAGCCATGATTGATGAAATGCAAGCTCTGAGCACAATGACACTTGGGAGCTCGTCCCTTTTCCTCCTGGCAAAAAGGTTATGGGTTGTAGATGGGTCTATGCAGTTAAAGTTGATAAGAATGGTAAAGTGGATCGTCTCAAAGCTCGTTTAGTAGCTAAAGGCTTTACTCAAATGTATAGTCTTGACTACTATGATACCTTCTCTCCAATAGCTAATATTTTCACTATTTGTCTATTTCTTGCTATGGCTGTTATTCGTCATTGACCCCTTCAACAACTGGACATTAAAAATGCATTTCTTCACGGTGATCTTAAGGGAGAGATTTATATGGAGCAACCTCCTAACTTTATTGCTCAGAAGGAGTCTAGTTTAGTGTGTAAGCTACACCAGTCTCTTTATGGCTTGAAGCAGTAATCTCGAGCTTGGTTTGAAAAATTCAGTCATGTTGTGTAGTTGTTTGGAATGAAAATGAGTGAAGCAGACCACTCAGTGTTTTATTGTCATTCCTCTTCAGGCAAGTATGTATCTTATGGTTTATGTTAATATTGTTATTACAGGCAATGATTATACTAAGATCAGCCAAATGAAGAATCATTTGTTTGCTCACTTCCAAACCAAAGATCTTGGTCAATTGAAATATTTTCTTAGTATTGAAGTGGCCCAATCAAAGGAAGGTGTGATCATTTCGCAAAGGAAGTATGCTCTTGATATTCTGAAGGAAACTGGTCTAACAAATTGTAAGCCCATTGATATCCCAATGGACCCTAACCAGAAATTGATGAAGGATGAAGGAGAAAATTATCAGATCAAGAAAGATATAGGAGGTTGGTTGGTAAACTTATTTATCTTACTATTACCAGACCGGATCTTTCTCATGCAGTTGAAGTAGTTAGCCAATTCATGCAAAATCCTTGTGTTGATCACTGAGATGCCTTGATTCGCATTCTGAGATATGTTAAAAGGGCCCCAGAACAAAGATTGTTATATGAAGATAAAGGTAATACTTAAATTCTAGGTTATTGTGATGCAGACTGGGCTGGTTGTCCCAATGATAAAAGATCGACTACTAGGTATTGTATCTTTTGATTTTTTGGAAAAGTAAAAAGCAAAGTGTTATTGCTCGATCTAATGCAGAAGTTGATTATAGATCTATGGCTCTTGCTACATGTGAACTTGTGTGGATCAAACAATTCCTTCAAGATCTAAAATTTTGTGATATTGGGCAGATGAAGTTATTGTGTAATAATTAGGCAGCTCTTCATATTGTCTCCAACCCAATCTTTCATGAAAGAACAAAGCATAAGATTGATTGTCATTTTGTTAGAGAGAAGTTGTTGTTTAAAGAACTTGTAACTAAATTTGTAAGCTTCAATGAGCAACTGGCAGATATTTTAACTAAATCCTTAAAAGGACCTAGGATTCAATTCATTTGTTCCAAGCTTGATGCATACAATCTATATGCTCCAGCTTGAGGGGGAGTGTTGAGATATGTTGTTCATGTATCTTTTTGTATGTTCCTTAGACTAGGGTTAAGGGTTTGGGTTGAGGCTCATATCATCTCTATTGTATCTCTTTTTCTATAAATACAATGTATCAGGGCCTTTGGTCACTGTATCAAACCCTAAATAAGTTTTCTCAAGTGAATTAAAATAGTGTCATATTCTCCCCGCTCCTCAGACAAAAATGCACAATAGTGATATTAGAGTTGACGATTTGTCTTGTAATCAATTATAGTCAAGTACAAAATAGGGTAGGTGAGTTTGAGAGGAAGAGTGTTCCAATGTGCAAGCACTCAAACTTGAAGAGGGAGTGTTAGAATTCAAGTGAGTTGAAATGTCACATTGTATAGAAATAGTGAAATTGAGCAACATAAGAGAAAAATACCTACAAACTGGATGTCTAAAGATTTTGGTTAAAGATGATACTATATTTTCTAATGTAGTTATCATGAGTCCCATTGGTGAACACCTGCTCAATGTTACCCCTCTCACAAAACCCAACAACCTTAGGTCATGAGGGAAGGAATGCCTAAGGCTTACAAGGAGCATTTTAACAATCAAAGTATTTCAAGGAAAGGATATCAAGTCAAGCATTCTATTTAAGTTAGTAAAAATAAAGTTCAAACCATATTCTTTACTATTAGAAATATAAAATATATAACTCAATCCTACCAAATTGGCTTGTAAGACAAAATTTACACCTCAACTCTATTAGTTTGTCATATCTTTAGTCGATGTAGGATCTTTGATACACCCTTCACACCGAGGAAAGAATGTGGATTTGAATATTAGGTCAATAAATCTCATTAGGATAGACTCTGATATCATATTAGAAATGAAAAGGTACCTAACTAAAGCTATAAAATCGATTTATAAGGTAAGGTTTGCACCTCAATTATATATTATATAAATTTATCATATCTTTATTTGATGCAGGATCCGCAACATTAACAAATAGAACTCTAGCTCAAGCTTACCATAGAACCTCCAGCAGCTGTAGAATAGGCAGTGCTTCCAGTGGGGGTTGCAACAATGACTCCATCACCTTGTACCTGAAAGACATGACAATCATCATATAGAAGGAATGACACTGCTTCCAAAAGGTGTTTATAGATGGTGGAAGCTCTCATCACCAGATATAAAAGACAGAAATTCAGTGTGCAAATAACAATTGCATAATTAAACATGCCTTGGTTATAAGTCTACCATGTTCATAACATTCGATCTTTGATAGGTATGGATTAGAACCCCTATCAACAACAACCTCATTGAGAATATCAAATACTTTCCCTGGTACAGCTTTACCCTTACGATAAATTTCACATCGGAGACGCATTCTGAGAGTTATGTACACTCCATCTCGTGCACTATTACCATGGATAACTTGTTGTAAGTCCTGCTTGTAGTCTTCAAACTAGAAACAGAAAACAGAATTGAAGTCAAACATATGGCCAAAAAATTACCAACGTTTTTTATGGTGAAATAAATGATGGATTTGAAAGGCATACATTATGAGAAGTCAGAAAACCAAGAGAACCAAGGTTAAATGACACAACAGGGGGAACAGCACCTCTGAACAGATTTGAAGCATGCAGTATAACACCATCTCCCCCCAAACATGCCACAAAATCCACTTTCTCGTGTAGATCACTGAACCACAGGTATTAGATTTGTTAATCAACAATTTTGATTAAGTACAAAAAAATTTATACAAGAGGAAAAAGTAAAGTTGTTGCACATAAATTCACAAACTCCAGTACCAAGTATCCTGACTGTAGAAGGTCTGAACAAATCCAAACCCAGGAATTCTCCCAAATATATCATGCACATCTTGTTCCACCAGAACGTTCATTTTCTCTTGGAAATACAGAAAAGAAGCAACCTGCAGATTAGATACAGAAACTCTACTGAGAATAAATTTAATCAAACTGATTACAAAAAATTCAGAATAAATACATAGTTCCCGAAAGAATCACAGAAGTACAAAATGCTGTCAGAATATCAAATAAAGCTTGGAAGAACATTACCCAATCCCCAGTTCTCACATTCCCTAACAGACTTTTTTCTTTATTTCCTTTGTTACATAAGGAACATCTCCTAAGGCACCATAGAGAGAAGACTTATTGTATTAATTACAAACAATTAGAAGATATTGTCTTTCCTCTAACTAAAAGATGTTGTTGTCTATATACTGCTATACATTAATCATTAAATATTATATTCTGATTTTCAACAGAATAGATTAAACATCTTTTTCTCTGGCACACTTAGTAATGAAAAATATAGATCCAACCACCTAAAAAAAAATGTTATGCATAAAATTCCTGTGGTCCATCCAATGTAAACCAACAACCAAGCACGGCAGGATTCCACCAAACTGCCACATAAAGGCAGTCAGGTGGTGGGTTTCCCAGGCAGGCCATGGTGGCCACCGAATTCCAAACCAGTATGGCACCTTCAATTGGTCATGGCAACATGGTTGTATTACTATGTCAAATGCCCAGATCAACTATTTTGATTAATATTTTGGTGAATTCTCCTGTAGACTCAATGTTTGTAAAGTCAATTGATAACTATAAATTTGTGAATACGTGAAAATTTGTCTGAGTTGCTTGATTCCCTAGTGAGGGAGATTGGAGAAGACAATGTTATTCAAGTTATAACGGATAATGAAATTAATTATTAATTATGTTTTAGCTAGTAAGATGTTTGAAGTGAAAAGACCACATCTTTATAGGATTCCTAGTGCAACCCATTGCATAGACTTTATCCGTTAAGACATGGAAATCTTCCTTTAATAAAGGCAATTCAAATGGGTGTTAGCCTTGTTAGGTTTATCTATAGTCATTCTAGTACCTTGAGTTTGTTGAGAGATTTCACAAATAGGAGGGGCTTGGTAAGACATGCAATTAGAAAATTTGCTACTTCCTTTCTATCATTAGAAAGACTTGATCAAGAGAGAGGCAATTTGAGAAAGATGTTCACTTTTGATGAATAGACCAAAAATAAGTTGTCTAAGGAAGCTAAGGGGAGGGTAGCTACAAAAGTTGTCTTTATGAGTTCAATTTGGAAATTTGTGGTTATTATTTTAAAAGTCATGACTCCTATTAGAAAATAAGAAAGCAACTCTTGATCTCCCATTATTCTAAGTTTTTTGACTTTTAATATTTAAATTTTATGTCAAATTCTGGTTTTGTTCTATCTCAATGGTGAAAAATGTATAGCCACTTAGCAATTGCAGTATATTTAAGCAAGTAATAACTAGAATTCATTATTATTTTCTTGTAGGAAGAAACTGATTAAATATTTGCTTATTGATAATGCAAATTCATTCAAAATAGATACATAGGTTAAACCATAAAAAATTACATGATTTGATTTACAATAAGTATACACAACTCACTCAAGGATATAATATTAGAGATGAAATTAACCCTATTGCACTAAATGAAATTGATGAGTGCAACGAGTAGTTAGTGGAACAAGTGGATGATGATAGTAAAGATGGGAGCGGCAACAAGTTGGTTTTTATTGATGATATCACACTAAATTAGGAAACTCTTTATAACGTTCCAAGAGTTGGAAAGCCTACAAGGAGGGAAACAAGCAAAAAAGGTGCGAGTCATTAAGTGGTGGTACTTTTATTGGGGCTTCCCAAGCTTCCAAGACAGGTATAGGTGCAAGTTTAACTTCAAGACAAACATGTTCAAGTAGATGAAGAATTAGAATTTGATAACTCTGATTCCGAATGTTTAACTTTAGCACTCTAGAGGAGAAGAGGAGAATCCCTCACTAAATGAGAACGAAAATGATTATGTTGGGGTTGAGGAAGAACCAAAGGATTAGAAATTTAGGACATTTCTTTCATTTTATGTTGATTTCTGTTTTAGTATCATTATTTGAAGTCTTCAATTGGTGTTTTGTTATCGTTTTATAGGTATTTGAAGTTTTGAACTTGCTATTATAGTACTATTGTTAGTTTTACAGCTTTAGTATTATTTCTACATTTTTTGTCCTGCAGACTGGGCATCTGAGGTTGATGATAGAAGGTTTATTTCTGAAGCTTCAATTTTATTTGGTCCCAATCTGATATCTTGGTGGTCCAAGAAGCAATCCTTAGTTTCCCATTCCAGTGCTGAGGCAAAATGTTGCAGCCTTACCACCACTGGTTCTGAAATCATCTGGATCAAGTTTCTTCCTGAAGAACTGAAAAATTCTTCATCCACTCCTACTATCTTCTGTGACAATCAAAGTACACTTCCTCTAAGCCACAATCCAGTTTTGCATTCTTGCTTTAAGCACATCAAGCTTGACATTTACCTTATATGGGAGAAAGTTCTCAATCACTCCTTGGTTGTCTCTCATGTGCCTACTAAGACCAAATTGCAGATGCTCTGACTAAGCCATTGTCAAAGGCTAGATTTGTTTATCTTCATGACAAACCCAGGGTCATTACTTTCCACCAATAACCCTCGTTAGCATGGGGGAGTATTAGAATATTTGTGTAAGAATTCTTTGTAATTAGGTGTATGGTTTTATCGTAGTCCTTGTAGCAGGTAGTTATATTTGGTTTTACTGTCTAGTTATTTTTTGTCCATATCAACTTTGGTATCAGAGCACTGATCAGGATTGAAAAATGAATAGAATCTATAAAGATAATTTTGAGATATTTTTATAACAGATTTTTGAGTATCGGTCTCTTCACAATACAATTCTTTCCTAATTTCTTTTTTTATTTTTCCTAATTTGGATTACTTCTATTTATATTACTTCTAACAACCGTTCCCAATTGATACAACTTTTCCAAGTGGTTATCTCTATTCCAAGGGATATGCCCCTTGATTTGCATCCCTTGACTTTATTCCCCTTGGATGGGTTGTAACTATTGGTTGTTTTGCATCCTGTGAGTGTTGTGTGTCTTGTTGCTAGTGGTCTAAGATTATTGCTTCTTTTATTTGTTTCCTACAGGTGTATATCTTGGTGATAGGTGGTTTATTCTTATCAATACCCTCGCCGAAAAGACTCACCTTGTCTTCAAGGTGATAATTTGGAAAAACCTTGTTAAGGTTCCAACATAAAATCAATTGGCAATATGTGAAAAAGCCTAACAGGTATTTAAACCATACTAAATGACGTGAGATAGGCGATGTGAGACTTCCAACACGCCCTCTCCAACAAAACCTGCCGGACCAGACAAAAGGATACTTTTGACCCACAACGAAACTCTTCACCCAAGATAATAACCGGAAACATGTTAGGTTTTGGCTCTGATACCATGTTAAGGTTCCAACATAAAACCAATTGGCATTATTTGGAATAGCTTAACAGGTATTTAAACCATACTAAATGATATGAGACAGGCAATGTGGGACTTCCAACAAACCTATTGTATTTTAGCCATCAATTCCCAACTATTTTCACTCGAAAGAAGATTCTGCCATTGAATTAAGACTTCCACATTGTCAGGTTGTAGTTCATGAATATCTAAAATAGAATCTGGATAAACCTGTAATTCTTAATTCTCAGATAACATAGGTGGTAAAGGTCGGGACTGGAAAGAATCACCAATAGCCTTCTTGAGGAGAGAGACATGAAACACTGGATGAATTTTACTGTGAGATGGAATCCAATTTGTAAGCAACAACATCCACTTTTTTTAACACCTGAAAAGGACCATAAAATCGAGGGGAGAGATTTTCATTAATCCTTTTAGCTAAGGACCTTCTGCTGTAAGGTTGCATCTTCAATAACACCCAATCACTGACTGCATAATCTATATCATGTCGGTGTTTGTTAGCATTCATTCGCATGACATCTTGGGATTTTAGCAAATTCTCTCTTAGAGTAGCCAATAATTCATCTCGAGCAATTGTAAGCTTGTTGACTTCTTCAAGACAGGAAAAAATGGTGGTTCCCTTAAGAATGTGAGGGGGTCATGTCCATACAAAGCTTTGAAAGGGGATATTTTGCTAGAAGCATTATAATTGGTGTTAAACCAAAATTCGGCACAGGGAAGACAAGAGACTCATTTATTAGGCTTTGTTACAGTTAAGCATAGTAAATAAACTTCCAAACATCGATTGACCACTTCCGTCTACTCGTCAGTTTGGGGATGGTATGTTGAACTGAACTTCAATTGTGTACTTGCTGCTTTAAAAATGGCTATTCAGAAATTGCTTAAAAACAGAAGGTCACGATCTAAAACAATGGAAAACGAAAATCCATGCAATCTCAATTTCTTATAGAAATACTGCAGCAACTTTGGTAGCAGTGTAGAGGTACCCTAATGGTATGAAGTGGGCATATTTAGTGAGTCGGTCAACCACCACCAAGATTGTATCCTTCCCCATGCATTCGGGCACTTCTCCAATAAAATCTATAGAAATATTTGCCCATACTAGAGTTGGGATTGGTAATGGTTGTAGCAATCCTGCTGGAGAAAAGTTGTCATTTTTGTTTCTTTGACAAACTTCGCAAGTAGCAATGAAATTTTTGATGTTGGTTTTCATCTTTTCCCAATACACTAGGCTTGCTATTCTTTTGTAAGTCCGAAAGATACCAGAATGTCCTCCTACCAAAGATGAATGAAATTCTTTTAAAATGATTGAAATTCGGGAGGAAGACTTGGATAGCACCAATTTCTCCTTGTAAAATAACTTCTGATCTCTCAAAGTATAACCCTTATGAGATGTGGGATCAATAATTAGGTCTTGCATGAATTTTTATAATTTGTCATCTTGTTTGATCTCTTCAACCCATTCCTCGAAATCATGAATTTGTAAAACTGACATGGCATAATAGGAACTTCTCCTGGAAAGCACATCGGCAGCAAAGTTTTCCTTCCCTGGTTTGTACTGTATTTCAAAATCGTATCCTGCCAATTTGGAGATCCATTTGTATTGTTCCTCGTCGAGTATCCTTTGATCTGTCAAAAATTTCAAACTTTTTTGGTCAGTTTTAATAATAAAATGGCTTCCCAACTAGTATCACCATTTTTGAACTACTTTCACGACTACCATCAATTCACGATTTATATACTGATTTCCTCTAGTTTCTTTTAGATAGGGTAGTGCTCTAGAAGGCTAGAGGTCTTCCTTCTTGCATTAGAACAGCCCCTTATCCGGTTCCGCAAGCATCAATTTCAACCACAAAAGCTTTGAAAATTTAGGAATTGTTAATGTAGATAATCTAGACATGGCTTGTTTAAGTTGGTCGAAGGCAATTTACACCTCTGGATTCCATTGGAAGGCATTTTTCTTTAGCAGGTTGGTCAATGGTCTCGCTATTTTTCCATAATTATGAACAAACCTCCTATAATAGTCAGTAACACTTAAGAATCGCCTTAAGCTGGTGACATTCTTGGGTGTAGGCCATAGTGTTATCGAATTTAACTTCTTAGGATCTACGGATACTCCTCCAGCAGAAATAATATGTCCTAGATATTCCAAATTTGCTTGGCCGAATGAACATTTCTTGTCATTGATCTTCAATTTTTGTTGTTGTAGTAATATCAATACATTTTGTAGGTGTTGCTTGTGTTCTTCCATGAAAGGACTATAAATTAGGATATCATCGAAGAATACTAAAGCGTATTTTTTGGAGTACTGATCGCAAAGCTTCATTCATTAATGATTGAAAAGAGGAAGGTGCATTAGTGAGTCTAAATGGAAGTATCATAAATTCATAGTGTCCTTCATGTACGCAGAAAGCGATTTTTGTAATGGCATCTTCCTTCATCCTGATTTGGTGATATCTTGATCTTAAATCCAGTTTTGAAAATACATGAACTCCTCCTATTTCGTCCAATAACTCTTCAATTACTGGGATGGGAAATTTGTCAAGAATTATGATTTTGTTTAAGGCTCAGTAGTCTACACAAAACCACCAACTACCGTCTTTTTTTCTGACTAGTATGACAGGACTGGAATAAGGACTTGTAGATGGTCTGATGATTCCTGCTTCTAACATTTCAGCAACCAATTTTTCAATCTATGTTTTCTGATAATGAGAATACCTGTATGGTCTAATATTCGATATTTAGGCTCCTTCTTTGAGGTGAATGGCATGGTCCTAATGTCGTTGAGGAGGAAGTCCTTTTGGAGGCTCAAAGATGGAGAGAAAATCATTTAGCACATCTTTTAATTATGAAGGAATTGAATTTTTCCAATCTCTTTCTGTTTGAATATGATGATAACTAATAAGGAACACTTCTCCTTGATGCAAAGCTTTCAACAAAGTATTAAGTGAGGCATCTTTCTTTGAAAGTTCATGTTCTCCCTTTAAAATCACCTTTCTACCATCAATCTTGAAGGCCAATGTTAGTTGTTCAAAGTTGGCTTTAATCTCTCTCAAGCTTGCTAACCATTCCATTCCTAAAACCATATCTACGCCTCCGAGGCCAAACAAGAAGAATTGTTGTACCTGTACTTCTTGCACTTTCAAAGGAACTTCTCTACATACTCCCGTACATTTGATTTTGTGACCATCTCCAACTTCGACAACGTATGGCGGAGCATCATCCACTTTTAATTGTAGTTTTAATACCTGTTCCTTGGAAATGAAATTATGGGTGGCCCCGCAATCTATCAATACTATGACTTTGTGATCATCAATATTTCCCCAAACCTTTAAGGATCAGTGAGAAGTAAATCCCACAATACTATTCATGGATAATTTAGGTATTTCTCTAATTTCTTATTCGATAGAGTTTTCATCATCATCTTCATCTGTTACTAACATTATCCGAAGTTGTTTGTTCCTACATGCATGAGAGGTGCTCCATTTTTCTTCACAGCGAAAACATTCTAGTTTTTTCCTTTTTTTCTTTAAGTTCCGCTTCGGTTAATTGTTGAAAATTTCTAGGTCGGTTGTTGTTTTCTAGTTTGTTCACAGATACCCTGCTAGCAAAAGAATTAAAAGAGCCATTATTATTTGCTCCACCTTTCTGACTAACACTATAAGTAATAGTCTTCGTATGGGATAGACTTCGGTAAGAGTTGTTGAATTTTGAGATTGAATTTGAAGCAATATTTGTTCCTACCTTCCAAATTGCTCTGTTTTTCTGCACAATCATTAATTCCTTCTTGACCATGATTGATAAAGTGGGGGTTCATAGAGTTTAATTTGTACCCCAATGTCTTCCTTCAATTTGTTCACAAAATGTCCTGTAAATGTTCTTCACCAATATTTTGCAACATACCTACAAATCTTTCAAATTGCTCAACGTACTCTTCTACCATTTCTTCTTGTTTAAGTGCAAGGAGAGCAACAAAAGGATTAAGAGTGGTTGAAGTTTGGAATCTTTCAAGAATGGCAACTTTGAATTCTTCCCATCCAATGTTAGAGTTGCAAGTTTCCCACCATTGGAACCAAGATAGTGCCTTTCCATCTAGTGCCACCATAACGGCCTAAATTTTCTCTACTTCTATTACATCTCTCATTTGAAAGAAATGTTCCAATTTATTTATCCATCTATAGGCATCGGATTCTCAATCATATATGGGGATTTTCAATTTTCTCCATCGTTCTATTTTTCCTTCCCTGGTGTGATTCTTGGGTGTTTCTTCTCCATTAACGAAACCTTTGGGTGAGCCATTCTTTTAATACTTGGACAAATTTTCTACCATGCCTTCTATTCGTGCAAAAGGTGTTTCAAGTTGTTGTCATTCTGCATCTCGGTTTTGTCGGTCCACCATCAGCATCTCCAAAATTCTCTCCATTGTGTCATGATTATCAAAATTAGAACAAGTTGTCACCAGTTTTAGAAGCAAAGCACCTGATCAGTGCTCTGATACCAAATTGATATGAATAGAAAATAACTAGACAGGATTGAAAAATGAATAGAATCTATAAAGATAATTTTGAGATATTTTTATAACACAGGTTTTCGAGAGTCTGTCTCTCCACAATACAATTCTTTCCTAATTTCTTTTTTTTGTTTTCCTAATCTGCATTACTTCGATTTATATTGCTTTTAATAACCATTCCCAATTGATATAACTTTTCCTAATGGTTATGTCTCTATTCCAAGGACTATGCCCCTTGATTCGCATTCCTTAACTTTATACCCCTTGGATGGGTTATAAATATTGGTTGTTTTGCATCCTTTGAGTGTTGTGTGCCTTGTTACTGGTGGTCTAGGATTATTGCTTCTTTTGTTTGTTTCATACATGTGTATATCTTGATGCTAGGTGGTTTATTCTTATCAGCCTCTCCCCTCCCCACAAAGGACTTGTCCCTATGTATACTACCACACAAATTTGAGCCTAAACATCATTGTTAGAAACTCTGATATCTAGGCTATTGAAAACAACATACAACTATTTTTAACGGCTTGGATGCTTCTTTAGAGCTGGAAAGAAAAGGAAAAATATTACCTCTCTAGCTTCTTCCATGAGATGCTCTCCTGGCTTTTTCAACAGTAAAACAGTCTTTGGTGTAGATTTCCACATAAGCATCTGCTGCTGGGTGCTAGGATGAGTAAAGGCCAAAGAGGATTCAGTCACCCTCTCTCTCACACAAGAAAATCCATCTGTTCGTACTAAGAACATCTCTGCTTTCTTCCTTGATTGCAACCTTACCACCCCCGTTGATGATGCACACATGTCTCTTCCAATAAGCTCCAAGTCCTCATCACGTAAGGCTAATCCAGCCTTATCCTTATCAATATCATTGTTCACAGTGGTAGAGATATTGGCATCAGTCCTGTAATACATTTTCCCATCACTATATCCATTAACTGTTGTCCTAACAGAACTGGAATTATTCACATTCACTGACTTCCATTTGCTACCAACTGTGTTATGTGACTGAGCTGACCCATTGGAACTTTTCGCTGAGCCTACAGTTTCAGGTTCAGAGCTCCTCAAATCTGGCTGGCATTCCAATCTTTTTTCCTGATAACTGAAACAAGAGGGTTTTGAGATCTTCCTACTTCCCAAGAATTTGGACATCTCTTTTTTGGAAAAGATATCAAAAGGAGGAACTTGAGCTTCTAAAGGGCTAGTTTTGCTGGAGAAACTTGGAAAAGATCCTTCCCCATTAGCACCAGTGGCTTGTGACGAGGCCCTGCCATCAGGAGTAAGTTGACTTATGGCCCCATTGGTTAGTCTTTTTTCATTATTCTTCTCTAAAGAGGTACATGAGTCATATGAGCCTTCAGAACCATGCGTTGCACCCTCTTGCAGCAAATTGGTATCCTTTTCCTGGAAGGATCTCTCGGCAACTATTGAGTCCTGCATTTTTCCAGATCCATTTGTATTATCTGATAACATGTCATTGGAAATAACTGCTTGATTCGAAACAACCTGTGATGCAAAGCGAGTCATGTACTGCCTCCATCTAGAGACCATGGCAGACGTTCTCCTAATTCCTTCCTTGCTATGAAGATAAATTGGTCTTTTACTGCTATCTGAAACATAAGATGCAAACCTCTCAACCTGTTCCATCGTAGGAACAGTCCTATCTTTAACAGGGATCCTGACCAACTCAATACTTCCAGATGAAATAGCATCACACACAGCTGCTTGATAGAAGTTATCTTTCACATCTTCTTCTCTGAGATCTATGATGGTCTTATATCCTTTATCAAGTAACCACTTTAGACCTTCTTCTGTTACCTGCCCGCCTGTCCAAAAAGCTGCTTCAGATTCTTTGGACTCGGTGTCCTCTAAAGGATTGTACAAATATACTGGACTCCAATTTGCAAACAGCACAGGACATGGACAATCCTCCCCACGAGGAAAGCCAGAATCAAAGCACACATTCTTTAGCCTCTGAAGTTTCCTCCACATATCCAAGTTCCTATCATCGCCAGCAATTAAATAGTTCTCAAGAGCAACATGCAAGCTCTCACAACACCTCTTCATCTCACTCCTGAAAAGGGCAAGCGGGGGCAGTGTATCCTCCATCACACCAACCTCTGCTCCACGAAATGGAGTAACAATCGAAGATCTTCCAGAAAGAAGATTCTGCCTCCCACTGTTCACAAGGGCCACAATGCATCCAAGGGCAGATACTATTTTATCCTCTAGAAGCGATTTCTCATCAGACGGAACCTCACAGGAAACACTACATTCATCAGTGATTGGGTTACACAAGGCATCCATTAAAGCAGAATGAAGCCTTTCAGAATTCCTAAAGATCCTACAATACGCCTCCACTTCAGCAATGTCACCTGGAACTGGACCCGTCCAAGGCAACCGCGATGGATCATGACATTGAACAGAATTCAAACTCTGCAAAATGCAAACTAAAACATTAAAATATTTGAAACATAGGAATACAAGTAGACGACAACAAAGCTTTGCAGTGATGAATTCATGAATGCGCCTAAACCATAATTTCAAAATCATGATTTAATCACAGAACATCAATTGGGTGGTCAAATATTCATATTTTGTGAACATGGGGTTCAATTTAACTCTTAAAAATTGTGAATAAGTGGAAAAGATGAAAGGAATTAGTGAAAAAGTGAAAGAAACCTTAGAGTGAGAATGAAATCTGAAATTGAAGGAGAAAGAATTGGAAAGCTGAGCATTGAGGAGGTGTGTGTTCCTCCGAAATTGGAAGCGGAAAGCCAACACTCTGGCGTTGTCAATACCAGAGAACACAGACACCATGGTGGGAGTAATCCGGTCGACTGAGAACGCCATGTGCACGTGCAGAGAGTGCGTCCCAACGTGGGACTTTAATTACAGAAAGAAACAAAGAGAATGAGAACGTAGTTTGTTACGATTTGGACGCCGAGGAATCTAGGAATATTTGCCTTTCTAGACAACATCACATCTTCGGCTTTGTTTTTTTTTTTTTTCTCAGTTTTTTGGATTTTTGTTTCTTATTCTTAATCCAAATTTGATTGTTCTCCGTTTTAAGTTTTTTTCTTCATACTAATATTTTACTCTTTGTCATCAAAAATTTCAAGGTTAACAATACATCGTCTAATAATAATATTCTCAAATCATTATAACTTAGTAAAATACTTTTTGGATGCATGTAAAATTGTAGTATTAGATACTATTTTTCTAAAAAACTTATTATTTTCATTTCCTTAAAATTTAAACATACTTTTATTTCTTTTTAAAATTAAACATTTTATAGTCTTTGTTAACGATAGAATATATTTAAAACTTATGTAGATGAAGGTATTCACATCTTATTAATTATACATTTAATCAACATACTTTTAATGATAAAATTCATGTGTTAAAATTGATATTTATATTAATATTTTTCGCATTATGATTAATAAGGGCATAAAAACATGTTTCAACTACGAAAGTAACATGAATTTTTTTATGATGTATTTAATATATTTATAAAGTGATTTAATAGACATTTGATAAAAATAATAATTGAAAAGTGATAAAATCGATTCTATTTATATTGATTTCTTTAATTGTCTAATTTTTTATTTAAAAATCAAATTTTGAAATAAACTGCTAGTTTTATTGAAATTTGATGTTACCTATTTTAAATTTGATAAAATATTTGATAATCGCTTGTTACTTATTATAAAATATAATGATTAAGATTAATTATTATTTTAAATTAATAAATTATTAAAATAAATAGTAATAATAAAGAATAATTTTTTAATTTTTGTTTTGAGATTGAATGGATGCACTCTCTCATAATTTATATATTAAATCATTATATCTTAAATAAAAACTAATTTTATTAATAAAAAATATTTTTTTAAAATATTTTTTTTATTTTAATATTTTTTCATTAATTAATTTTATATAGATATGTTAATATTAAAAAAAGAAAATCAATCATGTAAAAATTGGCTCCTTATTCTTAAAGTCTAATAAAAGGTTAAATTAGAATAAAATTTTTAATATATTTTAAAATATAAGTTAAGTTGGATCATAAAAAAATATTTTTTTTATTTGTTTGTAAAACTAAGTTAAGTAAAATTGTATCTTTTAACAATAGTACTAAATTTTATTATCTTTTTATTAAATTATATTTATCAGAATGTAAAAAATTTACATTTAAAATATGAACAATAAGTTTCCTTTATTTAACAATTTTTCATTAAAAAAATTTAAGAATTTAATAGAGATAAAATTTGAAAAGAAAAAAATCAAATTAAATTAAATCATAGAACGTAATTGTGTTTAACTAGTTTCTGTTAAATTAAAATTGAACTAAATTACAACTAACTTTTATATTTGCTTTAAATGATCTTTAATAAATATAAGAAAGTAAATTATATTTAAAAAATTATGTATTTTTATTTGAATTTATTAGATAAATATTCTCATACAAAGTAAAACAAAAATTTATGTTACAATCTAACTTATATTTTTAAAATAGTTTAAAAATTTTAGTTTAATTTTACTTGTTAGGTCAATAGACTAACAAACTAATTTTTATCTGATTAATTTTTTTTAAAATATTAATATATTTATATAAAATTAATTAATTAAAAAATATTTAAATAAAAATAAAAACTAAAAATATATTTTAAAATTTAAATTTTATTGATGAAATTAGTTTTTGGTTATGACATAATTATTTAATGTATAAATTATAAGAGAATATATCAATTTAATCTCAAAATAATAATTAAAAATTTATTATTTATTATCATTATTTATTTCTAATAATTTATTAATTTAAAATAATAATTAATCTTAATTATTAAATCTTAAAATAAATTATTATTAGAGATTTATTCTAATTTTATTTTTAGAATAAGTGAAAAATTAATTTTTAATACATTTTTTTAACAAGATAATATTATTTTTATTTTTATTTAAAATTATTATTATTTTATAAAATTGGTCCACTCATAAATTTATATTTAACTTAAACACATATAAATTATAACCTAGATAGTTCGGATCAAAATAAATATAATTCAAGTTAAATCATAATTTTTTTATTTAGTCTGTATTATTTCTTGGACCTTTCATGTCATCGGACTAAACATATTTTATCAACATACTATTTAAGTCTAACATTTTTAGAAAAATTGGTAGAATAATTAAAAATAATTAAAGTGATATTTTCTTTCTTTAATTTAAAATTTACAGTAATGTGTCACGCTTAGATAATATGGGCCACTTATTGTCATTTCTGATTCACACCTGTCCATATATTGATTAAATTATTTATTTTATTTTTTAATAATATGTAATATATTAAAATCAAAACATACTCAGACTAAATAAATTCGATATAATTTTATTCATGAACCGCGTACACATGTCTAAATTCAGTTCTGAATAAAAATTCACACCTTAGTAGGAGCTAAAGAAAGAAGAAAAATGAAATTCTAAAGTTTTGACCACGTTTCTTACGATTTCCTTAACTCCATAGCCTTTACGTTCTACATTATTTATGCAACAATTTTAATTTGATAAACTATATTATATTTCGCAACAAAATTAGTGATTTCAATCTATGATTTCATTGTTAGAAAAACAACAACAACAACAATAATAATAATAATAATAATAATAATAATAATAATAATAATAATAATCCCGATTTTGATTCTAACGATCAAAGATAAACATAATCTCATACTCGATAAACATGCTGTAAACTGAATGCGAAAGCGTACTCGAATTAGTCATAATGATGATGTCTTTGTAAAGCATTGTATTGATCTTATGGTCTTCCACATGAAGAGCACCTGTATTTCCCTCTTAATTTTCTCTCTTGATGGGGATAGAAAGAAAGGAACGGGACTGATACTTATGTTCTGTCTATGTGTTCCCAGAAGGGGACCATGACCCTTTAGATAACCAGAATTAGGTTAATTACTTAAGTTTTAGTATTTCCAATTTGGTCCCTCATCAAATTAGAAATTACTCTATGGTCTCTACACAATTTTATTTTCATGACATATGCCTTGAGCCAAAACTTTAATTTAGTCATCACTTTATTATTTGGCTTAATAAATAATGGCTCTAACACATTTAAATTATGTATCATATATATATATATATATATATATATACATGACCCAAATTTTGCCAACAATCTCCCACTGGTCACAAATATATATGTCCTTACAACCTTACAAATGTGTTATACTTTATGAGCTCAAAATTGCCATTATATTTCTTTAGCATACTCCAAAAGTCCTGTCCATTAATCATATCAGGATATAGAACCAAACCAGCTTTTCATTGCATCATCGCAACTAAAACCAACAATGATTATTCATCCTAACATAACCAAATGACATGGATTCATCATGAAATGTGTAGCATGAAAAATTACGTGAAAGTGATCTGTACACGTCTATTTTCAACTGGTTCTAACTTTAACTTATCGAGATCGATATAATATCCTTAATGTACAAAATGTAATGAATGAACGAAAAAACCGCATATCTATAGATAACCAAATATGTCCAAAAGACAATGTATACATATATGAAATTAAACATAGAACATAAAATATATGAAAGTGACTAACTCCCATTAAACCACAAATTCCTCAAACTGTAAAACACCCATGTGAGGAAAATGCTCATGAAAGACCTTGGGCGGAGGTCCTTTAGTTAGAGGATCTGGTATCATGGAGTTTGTCCTTAAGTGTTCTATGAAAATTTGTCTACTTTGTACTCTTTCCTTAACAAAATAGTTGATTTATTGTCACAATATAACTTATGTGGTCTTTCAATGCCTTTCACAATTTGCAGCCCTGTGACAAAATTTCTCAGCCATATTCCATGATTTGATGCCTCATAGCATGTTACAAATTCTTGACATCCTACAAAATCTGAGTCAGAAAACCCAGCGATATCCAACTGGTCTGACCTCCTATATGTGAGCATATAATCTTTTGTTCTCTTTAAATATCTTATGACTCTTTTTGCTGTTTTTCAATGGTCTATTCCTGGATTGCTTAAATATCTACCTAGAACCCTAACTATATATGCTATGTCTGGATGCGTATATACTTGGGCATAGATCAAACTCCCTACAACTGATGCATAGGGAATCTTTTGCATTTCCTCAATTTCCAAATTTCCCTTTGGGCACTGATTGAGACTAAACTTGTCTCCCTTTAAACTTGTGATACACACAATCATCAACAATATTCATCTTGAAGCCAAATGAGTTTCATACCTTCTAGTAATGAGACAAGTTCCCAATAACCTTATTGTCTTGCATGGACTTATACTTATCCTATTGCTTCAATCCACTTTTGAGAGTTAGAACCTTGTATAGCTTGACGGAAGTTAATTGGGTCATCTTCCATTATATCATTATTTTCCTCATGTTCCTGAAGAAATACCATGTAATCATCCGAAATAGCACTTCTTCTTTCTCTAGTGGATCTCTGCAAAGTTATTAGCTCATGATGCATAGGTTCTTGAGGATCTTGAGTTTGTTCTTCATGAACAACCAAATCATCTTGAGTGAAGGGTTCATCAACAATGCCTTGTGGAGGTTCCGAACTTACTTTATCAAAAGTAACTATTTGAATCGATTCTGAAATTGTTACCGATTCTTCCTCCAAGATGAAGTTCTTAATCTTATTCTTCCCCCCAAACTCAATATCCTCAAATAACGTAGCAGTTCCCGTCTCAAAAATTGTCTTTAATGTGGGATCATAAAATTTATATCCCCTGGATCTTTCAGCATAACCAATAAAATAACTACTTACTGTTCAGGAGTCCAATTTCTTTTCATTTGGCTTATAAGGCCTTGCCTCAGCTGGACAATCCCACACATGGAAATGCTTCAGACTAGGCTGTCGTCCAGTCCAAAGCTCATAAGATGTTTTGGTAGCTGCTTTAGTTGATACTCTGTTTAGAATATAAGTTGTCATATTTAGTGTCTCTCCCCAAAGTGATTCTAGTAAGGTGGAATGACAAATCATACTCTCTACCATATCTTTAAGAGTGTAACACAAGCTCAAACATCACAATTTGATTGTGACCTGAGCACTTGTGTCATAATGCACTTGAGTGATTATTTTTAATTTTACGTTTAGTACCACATGATTCTGTATTAAGGGTTTCATTATAGGTGGTCACAATATCAAGTAAATACTGATTATCATAAATCAAAAGTGAACCAGTTCCAACAATATCTGAATTAAAAGACAAACTGAACTTATTGTTTCCAAATGAACACAAATAACCTAATTTGTCCAAATAAGAAACTGAAACCAAATTCCGTCTAAATGACGGCACAACAAAAGTGTCTTTCAAATCCAAATAAAAATCAGTACTTAATAACAATTTAAAATGCCCTATAGCTTCCACCTCTACCGATTTTCCATCTCCAACATAAATCCATCTTTTAGAATAAATTGGCTTCCGGTAGTTTAGGCAACCCTTTCTTTTCACGCCAAGCATGATATTTAGCACATTTCTTCTTTACGTGTCCAATCTTATTGCAAAAGAAACATTTGTTTTCTTGAGTTTGTTTCTTTTGTTCTGGACCCTTAGCACCTTCTTTTTCGAGATCCTCTGATCTCTTTCTTTTGCCCTTAGCCATGGAGGTGCTTGCAAAATGAGCACTTTCTGTCTTGTCTTGCTTTAGTCTTTCCTCTTCTTGTACGCAATGTGAAATGAGCTCATTAAGAGACCATTTATCCTTCTGACAGTTGTAAGATACCTTAAATTGATTAAATGTTGCAGGAAGAGAAATCAACACCAAATGAATGAGCAAGTCTTCTGAGAGTTCAAGCTTTAGTGCCTTGAGTTTAAAAACAATATTAGACATGCTCATAATGTACTCCCTGATATTTTCTTTGCCTTGATATTTCATGGATATCAAGTTCTGAAGAAGAGTGTTTGTCTCCGCCTTATCGCTTTTTGCAAAGCGCTGCTCAATTTCAGCAAGGAATTCTTTGGCACTTGTGATGTTTTCAGAAACAGTGCCCCTAAACACCTCCGGGATGCCACGCTTAATGATCATTAGACTCATGCGATTTGAGCGATTCCACTTCTCATAATCTCTTTTCTGTTCAGAGGTACTTGAATCCGTAGGAGTAGGGGTTTGCTCAGTCCTTAATGCAAGATCCATATCCATGCAACCAAGAACAATATCAATGTTCTCTTTCCGAGTCCTTAAAATTTGTTCCATTGAGGACCGGAACGTAATTTAAATTGGCGGATACGAAGCAATTGTAGCTCGAATTTAGAACACGAGAAATAAACTAATTATGCTCACATTATATAAAAAATAAATAATATATATTCAAATAGTGGTTTAACCCATCTCAAGATACCCAATGCACCATCAATATCAAGTCTTTGAACAAGTAATATTAACTCGCTAGAGGTATCTTGATGTAATAATCAAACATTGACAATAAAGCACGTCCAACAACAAATCGGTCTTTGGATTGATTTATCATCGACAAAGCAAATCCTTATAATTATCACATGTTTATCATTACAAATGTGTATGCAATTCGGTCAAATATTAATCTTCCTTTAGGCCGACTAATACTCACATGAATATACACAAATACTAACATTCAATATTTTTCATGAACTGCCCAATTCAAGAGAAGTTACTTTGGTGACTTCTTGACTCAATTTGCTCACAAAAAATATTAAACTACCTAAAATTGAATATTTTATTTATATAACAAAACCAAATATTTAATATTTGCAAACTAATTCAAAAGAGAATCATCTCATTAGAATTCTACTAAGGATGAACACCTCCCTAAAATCTCATTAGGGATGAACACCTCATTTGAATAAATCAAAGGATGAAAAAATGCCTCATTTTCCACCAATACATAAAGGATGAACATCTCCCTAAAATCACACTAGGGATGAAACAGAGATAGTTCTGAGTCTCTTTAGCATACTGCTCTAAACCCTAAAAGGGAATTAAACAGTAATCACTCAAACCCTAATTTAACATCAAATTTTTCTAAAGGCAATAAAATAAGAATAGTCACACATGTGGAAACATTCACCATTTACCTAAGATTCTCTGTGTTGGGAACTCCACAGACACCACCCCCAATTCCAAACCCATAAAATTAAATAAAAACAAAAGATTCAAAAAAGAACAGAGAACCCAATACAAGAAAAATTGAAATGTGAAACACTGTTTCTTTCTCAATAAAACTTGAAACTTAAACTGAAACAAAAGGGAAAAATGAAGAAGAAGAAGAATCCATAGCTTCCTCCACGGTTCCATCAGCAAGTAGAATCAGATTGGGGATGTTACCCCCAAATTTAAATTTTAGGGTTCACGAAAATTAGAGATTATTCTCCACTTAGGGTTCATAAAATTGGGTAATTTGAATTGTTTAAAACAAAATTAATCCTAATTTTCATAATTAAGGTTCTATAAATTAAACAGACATGAATCAAATATGGGCGGCTCTGATACCAATTGTTGGAAAAACAATAATAATAATAATAATAATAATAATAATCCTGATTTTGATTCTAACGATCAAACATAAATATAATCTCATACTGATAAACATGTTGTAAACTGAATGCGAAAGCGTACCTGAATTAGTCATACTGATGATGTCTTTGTAGAGCACTGTATTGATCTTATGGTCTTCCACCTGAAAAGCACCTATATTTCCCTCTTGATTTTCTCTCTTGATGGGGATAGAAAGAAAGGAACGAGACTGATACTTATGTTCTGCCTTTGTGCTCCCAGAAGGGGACCATGACCCTTTAGATAACCAGAATTAGGTTAATTACTTAAGTTTTAGTATTTCCAATTTAGTCTCTCATCAAATTAGAAATTACTCTATGGTCTCTACACAATTTTATTTTCATGACATATGTCTTTAACCAAAACTTTAATTTAGTCAGATCACTTTATTATTTGGCTTAATAAATAATGGTCTTAACACATTTAAATTATGTATCATATATATATATGACCCAAATTTTGCCATCATTCATCTCCAATATACTATTATTATATTACTTAATGCTTTAACAAGACGCACTTTTATTCAGCAGGTATAGAAATTTTGATGAAAATAACAGCCACTACATTAAAACTCGTTTAATTACGCTCGTTATGGAAGCATACAAATCTGGTTTGGAACTACTAATATAACTTCTACTCAACCAGCATTATTAGATATATTCGTGTGATGTTATGTTTGTTTAACTTATTAAGATTGCCATAAGAAGCTCGGCCAGTGCATCACTAACAATAATAAATCTATCTATATTTCGAAGAACGTTGCAAGGACATTTAATTACAAAAATGGTAACAAGGGAACTATTTGATAGAGAAGGAAATAAGAAAAAATTGTAAAGAAAAACCGAGACAGACATTCTGCTTCGTAAACCTCTAAACCTACATGATATCACGTTAGCTTGACTGTTCAAGATCAGGGAGAGATGTTGGCTGAAGATTATTTGACTTGGTGGGAAGTGTCCCTGTAGACTGCTGCTTTAGGGACCTAGGCCTTTCTTCTCCCTGCAAGGAACCTACCTTCTCAGGAACTAAATCCGACTCAACCTCTGGTTTTCTCTTTACCTTCTTTGTTAGCACAACATCTCCAAACTTGACATCATCCAGGGAACTGCTTGAACTTCCCTTGCCTTTTTCTTGTTTTAGGCCATTTATTGGACTGGGGACCCGGCCAGTTGTGCTTGTAATAGTAGAAACTTGCTTGTTCCCTGAAGTTAAAGCATGACTGCTGGACTCTGGAGCTGATCTCTCTCGTAGGCTCTGCTGTGAAGTAATTGAATTGGTATCAAATCGAACGTTCTCCTCTGTTTTAGGTGTCAGCAACTTTTTCCTCTTAATTTTTTCTTGATCCTAACGGCAACCAAGTAAACCAATGAGATAAAAATCATTTAAAAAAAAATAAAAAACTATTCCTCAATCAGATATCAAATCCTGAATATCATCTGGGTATTAGAAGAGAAGAATCAAATGTTATTCTTCCCTTTTTAATTAGGTTCATTCAATTATTTTCCCTATCTTATGGACAATTTTTTTTAATAAATAAAATCTATTCAAGATAGGGTATGAACATTGAAGAAAAAACTGAAAAAGAACTCAAAATTTGAAGGCATCATGAGAACAAGAAACGTGATCTTTAGAGCAACCTAGTTTTGGAAGCCTAGACAGCCTCGGTTGTCTGAATTAATCTCAACTTTATAGTTTACAAATTATCTCTTTCTAATAGACAACATATAGACAGATGCAAACAATGCATGTAATTGAAATAGAATACCATGAAATGAAAATGGTGAAAGAAGTTTCCTCTATGCATATCAAATCCAATACTAATTTCTATGGGTATGTCATCATTACTAATTCTCGGGGATATTATTCACGGAGATTCCTTTTTATAATTTTCTCCAATGTTCTATTTTGCCACTCTTGACTCTTTTAGTATTCACAAAACTGAAAACCCTGTAATCTCCAAATCACCTTTATTGATTTTGTCATCGTTTCCTCAATAAGTGTCATAATAATATCTTCTCGCATACAATCATTGTGTATCTCGTTCTTTTTTGTGTGGTCCCACATCCATCTTAATATATTTATTTCTAACACCTAGTATGCGGGGAATACAGAAATAGGAGATGTTCGGCTAATATACATTTGTCAGATATCGGGAAAAAGCATGATAAAATATAGAGATCCTTCTAAAGAAGTAGGATGTCACTATTAGAACTATGAGCATAAATGGCCTTGCCTTGGGTTTTGAAGCCCTGTTCAGCTAACAACCAGACTTCATCTTAAAAGTGCATGTGGGGTATCAGTTTAGCTTTGGGTTTTCAGTAGGGTTCAGCTGCTCCATTTTGGTTAGACAATGACGTATCCCTCTTTCATTCAGAAAAGGCAGGATTTTGGTTCACAATACCCTCACCTTGTAGCATTATTCTGTCTGAATTCTATTACCTAGCTCCAAATTTCCAATCCCCCCCTGAAAAAAAATATTCCAGCTCCTTCCTGTTTTTCTTTGATTTCTTCTCTTCCCCTCCTCCCAACATCCAAACCTAGCTTCAAAATTGGGGAACTTTAAAATGTGTGTAAAAATCAACAAGGGTTAGAGGCAGGAAGCTGTGATCCAAGTATAGTCACTAAATGATCTTTGGTAAATTTATGACCTTGGCAACCTTAACTAACGTCCCAAGAATGTGTTCCAAAGTAGCAATGCCATATAGGATTTTACAGTCTAGAGCACAGACAATCTTCTACTTCAGAGAGAAAATGAGGTTTGAATTATGCTTCACTAATATAAAAAAAATCATTATTAACTGAAAAAGGCATACCTTGTGCTTGTTATACAGTGCTCTGCGCCTCTCTTTTGCCCTGCAAATTCCACGTTTGATCCCATGGTTGTCCATGTAACCACTGGGCCATAATTTTGCAAGCTGAAGACAAGTACGTTGAAAGTTAAGAAAATATATATATTTGTTTGTAGAAAGCAAAAAGATTAACTTCACACAAGTCACAACACAAACAACACGATATTAACTATTAAGTAGAACTCATGCTCCTGAAGAATAGAGTTGTTTGTTGGAGAAAAGAAGAACTTCATAATACTTTTGGAAAGTATTTGAGTACTTCATAATAGTCAAGAAAAGATCCCTGAATGAGTACTTCATAATACTAATAAGTTCTCAAAAATAAATTGCACATCATTTTATTCATATAAGAACATCAAAAACCAAGTTGATTTGAGCTGTTGCTCCTCAGCAAGAAAAAACACAATGCAAGCAACCAAGCAGCTCTAGAAAACCAATATTCAGAGGAACATTTAAAAAATTTGAACCACCTCAACGTACAACTTTCTGATCTGTGGACCTGCATTCTCATCCAACCCCTACAGCAATCACAAGCAAGGTTCCATAAGAAAGCTTTATCACAAACAAGAATTTCAAGATAAATATCTATAGGTCAAATCTATACATCGACAAAAAGATCATAGAGATCACAAATCTTGTCCTCCAATGCAGCATCCATAGCAAACTTTCTTTTAGTTATTGTTTTTCCATCAGGACCAAATTCTTGAAAATCACCAGATGCTTCACCTTTCTGCTGCTGCTGAAATGCCCAAAAATACCATGTGTCAAAAATTAAATTATCAAAATATCAGTTGAATAAATATATGATTGAATCTCAATATACAGTGCAAAAATAAAAATTAAATATCATAACTATAACCGATCAAATCCCTTTCCAATGATCCATTAAGAAGAGCTAATAAAGGATGACAGGAGACATAGTTCGAATTGTGATGAGGAGGAACAAAAACAAAAATGATAAACCAACAATGCTACAATGATGAAGAACTTGCAAAACATACACCAAAGAGCATATCACATGATGCTGATAGATACACCAACAATTTAAAGAATCTCAAGCTACATATTCTAGACATTGTGAACTCATCATAATTGAACATGAGTGAAATACAACACATGTTAACCAGTTTATCAATTTATGATAAAGAATGCAAAAGCAAGTGAAACTACATTAAACCTTGGATTCAAGAGTTGGGGGCTGCAACTTAATCATATCAACAACTTCCTTCTTTATTTGTTGAAACCTATTATCATCCTCCTGCTTTGCTGACAGGCCCATACTGATCATTATTTTTAAGTTTCTCTGCAGTAGAAAAACACTGTATGAGAAGATAAGTATAATCTATATTTACCTAAACCACACTGAATAAAAACAAGATAAAAGTTACAGAAATTGTCAAGACACTATGAGAAAAAATATCCAAGATAACTTAGGTTAAATTTTTAGTACTCGTGAAGACACTTCTAATTGAAATAAAAGTTGGCAAAGTATTAGCACTAGTTAAGAGATAATATTGCCATCGCTTCATAGTCACATCACATTAAGACACTCAAACAGAAGCAAAATGAACAAGGAAAATTGAAGCATTTTTTATTGGAAAATCACCAAAATTAATAAGTGTCTCAATGCACAATCCTAACTAATAATGAAAATGGTCAGGTCACGAATGCACACAAACCATTTTTTTATTATTATTCTTAAATGATATCCTAATAATTAAATTAACCCAAAAAAAGTACAAAAGCACAGAAACAGTAGACAGGGAACTTGAGAAACAAGCATACTCAAAGTCTCTACTCCATATAACTTTTGGGTTTCAACTATATGTGTCAGCTAAAAGAAGTGGAGCAGACATTAAAATCAGAAACTGAAACAACCAACATTAAAGAGTAGCCTATCTATCTTTAACAGGCTGCAATACCTTTAATGTTCTTAGCTGAATCAGATGTCCAAGAATACTCATAAGACGGTTAATTAACTCTTTTGATACTTTCCCATGGGTTGCCTGATGTAACAAAAACATATAGATAATATTGCAATGCTCAAAACCCTTAAGTAAAACATTACAAAATAGTATAAATCTCCAGTAGCGTAAAATCAAGAAAGTATCATTTTCCAGTACCGCTAGTCTAGCAACTTTAGCAAGTTTTAGCTTTATTTCTCTAGGCAACCTCCTTTTGACAGCATCCTGGTTATCCACTGCTGGTGGCCTGGCTGTAACATTATTCCAAAGGAACAAAAGAAAAAAAAGAAGTAAAATTAGAAACAAATATTTCAAGATTCCTATCCATGTTAATGGTGAACACAAATTTTCAATCTTACATTCTGCAACCATTTTTTCCAACTCACGAAGAGCTTTTTCAAGCATTGAAGCTTTTGGCCTAACACTAGAACCCTCTTTCTTCTGCATGTTTTCAGATTTCTGCATAACATTCAAATGAACCCGTGACCAGGATAGAAACAAATAGAACATATACAGTTTCATGCATAGAAATCCATATGCACAACTTTCACTATCTTTGTCACAGTAATTGATACAAAATGCATAGTTCAAAACAGCTGGTTAAAAGGATAGTTTACTTTGTCACTTCAATTGCTTTTAAATATAACACCCCATCTCATGTACGCCAGCACCTTTAAATTAGGTGACTGTCATTTCAAATGATACCCATCCTTCATGACAGCCAAGAGAACTAGTCAAAGGCCTAGGTAGAAGCAATAATGGTTCAGAACTAAGGATTCATGGTATTGTTTAACATCTACTAGCATCTTCAAGCAAAGAAAAGGGATCAGCAATGCTTAATCTATTTCCCTATCAATTGGCTCATTGTTGGGGAGTTCATCTCTTTTCATCTGCCACACAGCATGGGCATGTTTGGATTAGATTAAATTCGGAAGAAACAAGTTTTTTTCCAAGAATAAAAGCTGTTTTCAAAAAAACTGGTATGTTTGATAAAAATCAAGGTGATATAAAATGAAAAGGCTTTTTTTCTCTATAGTAAAAGGTTTCAAGGTGTGTGATATCAGCTCTTTTTTGCTTAACTTTCATTTTCCCATTGTATCCCCAACAACTTACTATTTCAAATACAAGACCAACTACGACAAATAATTTCATATACCTTTTTGTAATGTTACTAAAAAAACTGATTCTTCTATGCAATCCAATCAAAATATATTATCTTAAAACCACTTATCACCTGACATAAACAAACACCACTGATTTCATATAATTAATTATAACAACAATTGAGTATAAACATATTGAATGTTGAAATAATCCATTTTTCATAGCTATCTCAAACACAGCCATTTAACCCCTCAGTTTTACTGTAGAACTAGAACTTGATCTCTTAGTTGTAATGGAAAGTGGTTCTATTGAAAAAATGCTCTTTCGAAAGCAGTTGTTAGAAGTATCATGAGCCACTTGGGACTCGGAGATGGGTAACCCTTTTGTTTAGCAGCAAAAAATAATTGATGAAAGCACTACAGCAGAGGACCTCTTGATATCACTGGTTTATTCAAAGTATTTATCAAATCAAAATTGAGAAAAGGGACATGGAAAAGCAATTGAAATAAAAACTTACTATTGCTTGGGTAGCAGACTTTCCCTCGGACAAGTTAAGATCTGGCAGTTCACACATAGCACTTTTTTCTTTTGTCCGTATAATTTCCACATCATCCATACTAGTTGGGGTTCTTCCAGGTTGGGATTTGGAATGCGCATAAGCACTTTTTTCATTGTACTTCTGATGAGATGCATCAAATGATCCAGTTCCATCTTTACATTTATCACTAATGTTCTTAGATTGAAAAGCTCCTATTTTCTGCTTGTCAGCATCTTTTGCATCTGTTACACCAGGAACATCATCACTTGATGTTTTCAAAGAGATGGAAGGGTCCAATGTTGGTTTAGTATCAGCAGTTTTCTTTTTTGAAATAATTCCAGAGACATCTGATTGATTCAAAAGTTTCAAGTCTTCATAATGTTCATCAGGTGCACCCAACTTGTCAGACAAATTTAACATATTTTTTGCCTGTAGTGATGCTGTTTTGCCAGATGCTGGCCTGCCAACTTTTACATTTTTATTTGATCCATGACCGTCATTGTTTTCGCCAGCATTCTTCAATATATCTTTTCTGCGTCTTTTCTTTGGTTGCTGGTTAGGCGGTGCAGCAGGTTCGTTTCTTGTAAATAGAAAGAAACAACAATCAGTAAGAACAATTCTGATTAGTTGTCAGACTCCATTTACTCCAATCTTGAACATAAAAATATTCAACAAATCACTGCAAATTTGTTAAATGTCAAAGAAAATAATGTTTACCAATAAGATAAATTCATGTCAATGTTGTTAGGAACACAAAGAAAAAACGTATTACACTAATTATCTAGTAAGCATAAGCATTTTGATATATATCCAAAAAAGCAAAAAAAGTTTTAACTGATGAATAAATTGAGCCAGCTAAAAGGAGAGGTTATTTAAAAGCATATACAATAAAATGATAACAGTAGATCAATGTCAGCATCAAAAAGGGATCAACAAAAAAAACGAAGTTGCAAAGTAACCTTTCTATGATTTGTTTTAAACCTGTGTGGATTGAAAAGAACAAAATGTAATATTAAAAAACTCAAAACTTACATGCGTTCCAGTTTCCCCCTATTTACAAAGAACCCATCATGTTTGATTGCAGAATTATCAACTTCAAAATATTCATCCTGCATAATGAACAGAGAATAAAAAAGAAATACGAAAACAAAAAGTCCATGGCATAAAATAGTACTATTCCTGTCTCAACAATAAAAGGTCAAGAAAATCCTAAATAAACCAAATAAATATGTGAAGAAACCAACCAATTCTGCGTCATCTATAAAAGAGTCTTCGGTATCATACTGATCATCATCAGGAACATCAAGCAGATCCTCATCATCACTGCTATCCTTGCCCTGAAACAATCCGCCATCCCATTTATTCCCAATAAGAAGCTACAAATTAATACTTAAACACACATTTACAATATTAATTGAAGGTTTCTAATTCACCCTGATGATGAAGAGCATAAAGCAACAATCTTGGTAAGAAACATACAAATACCATGTAAAGGCGTTCAATCTTCTCTATTACAGCACTGAATCGGTTTGGTTGAGAAGGATCGGTTTCTTCAACTTCAACAGGTTGACCCTTAAAAAAGTGGGCAGAGACTTGTGAGCATAGTGAAACATAAGACAATGCATAATTTCAAAATGACAATAAGCCTGACTTTACAATGATATACAATATAAAAGAGCCTGGAAAACAATTTTGTGGGAGGAGGAATGGTGCACGGAAGCATGAAATGAGAACTTGGTATCAAAAGCCTATAGAATTCAAACATTGGTTACCTTTACACCTTATATAGTATAGTCATGTTATGGAAAAACAGATCAATTACAAAACATCATAATGAAGAATTATGAAAATAAATTCACAGCAAAAGAACTTGAAACCAGAAAAATTCATGTGCCAGGTACTGGTGAAGTACAGCATATCTGCATCTGCAAGTACATGTGCACTAACCTCTATATCTTACGTTATTCTCAAATATTAAAGACTATTACATCTTAGTAATCCAACCGTATCTGTTAATGAACGTGTAAAACTGATCACATAAAATTCTCAGCGTTATGCGAACATGCACTGAAGAAAGAACCCCTGAAGTATGATAAACAAGCAGATGCTTGTTAAATAGGGATAGAATTCCTGCAAATAATACTGATTGACGTATGAATCAATATAATTGTTTTAAACTAATGAAATAAAGTTCAGCACCAAATCTCCGGAACCGGTTTACCTCACAAACATCAAGAATCACGTTACATAACAATTGCTCTTATACACCTGTTTCGCATTTTAGCACTCTAATTATACCTCTTTTTAAAGCTCCAATTAATTATACTACTTTACATCTACACAACTGGAATAAGCTACATCATGCCCAGCAAACATCGAAACAGGATCGTTTATTAGGGTAAAACGACAAATACAGCACCATTCAAAATAACAAATTTAAAGACAAATAGAATTGATATTTTTGAAGGACAACAATTCCAGTTATGGAACAAAACCCCTTTCAAACCCAAAATTCGATCCAAAAATAACACCGCACCAAAATGCAAAGCATCGAAGCAAAACACTAACAGCGAAAGCTGAAAATACTTCACACGTGGCAGCGAATTAACAATGCTCTCAGAAAAGTCTCACCGGAGCGATTGCGACTTGTTGTGGTGCCGAATTGGATCCGTTAGGCTTGTTAGAGTCCTTCATCAGCTTCTTCCACGAAACTATAGTGGTCTCACCAGGCCGGAGTTCCACCGTGAACATTTGCCGGTCGCCTTTCTTCACGAACGACGATGACGCCCTCTTCTCCTCCGCCATAGGAGTCCAATTCACCGACGATACAGAGATTCGAGAATTAGGGCGCGAGAGAGAAACATTAGACAGAGAACAAGGGAATTGCGCGGGATTCAAAAATTAATTGCTGGAAATTAAAGAAAATCGAATAAATAGAGTGTGTATGTTGTTGGGGTTTTAACTGCAATTGGAGTTTGATCGTAAAAGGGAACCGGGTCAGGTAATAATATCTGATGGGTCGGGTTAAAATAAAACTGGATTGGATATAGCTTTATATCTATACTACTCTTGTGTTTGGATACCTTTTATACCAACTGTTATGAATAGAAGGTATCTGCTTTCGACAAGATCCGGTTTTGTTTGGTTACATCACATGCTGGTTTCATAAATTGTCAAGTATGAGAAGGAGAGAATAGAGAGAAAATTGTGTTCGTCACTTCATTAAGGATGGTTATTTTGTTGGGCCAACATGACCTAACAGTTATCATGGTCATAAATTTCCCCTGCAAAGATAACTAGTAGAAGTTGACGTTTTATATGTCATACATGATACATGTGCTCCATTAAGCTCGAATAACATCTCTAAGGTGAGCATGGGTTGCTGTAATGCAATTAATTGATCATAAATTAAATATTCAACTGAGTAATGATTTTAAAAAAGTATAATGCATTTATGAGATAAGAAAGTTTTCAAAAATTATTTTACTTGATAAACAAATTATTTAAATTAAGTCTTTTCGTAACTTAATGTGCCAAACTATATTTTCTAACATTATTTTGGTAATAAAACTTTTTGTACAGGTAATTTTAATATTGTAAAACTTTTATATAAATGATCTATGATGATATCTTAAAATACAAGTAATATGCATTATTTTAAATAAATATTTGTTTCTAACTAAAATTTGATAAGATATTATTTATATTGAGCGACATTCCACTTACATAAATTCATACTGACTGTTCATTCAATTTTTTAAAAATTATTTCTAAATTTATAATATTGGTCTTTTCATTTTTTAAAATATTTAAATTTAATGATCATAGATCTATCATATTTATATTAGTTATATTTATTCGAAATATTTAATTTGATCATAATTAATTATTAGTTTAAATTATTATTTTTTAAAAGGAAAATAACTTCAGAGATTTTACTTTATTTTATTTTTACTTTTAAATTATCGGTAAAGATGTGTTACAACACTAAAAAAGTTTACAAAATTAATTGAGATTGGAGTATTAAATTAAGAGGTGATGTCTATAAGATTTTGAATGTAAGGAGAATTTAGGTTACCATTGATGTTCTCCTGCACAGAATTTAAAGTCAGAGACTAAAGTAATTGATACAATCAAAGTATGAGGAAAAAAAATGGATTGACTAATATGTATTTAATTATTTTTTTATTTTATTAGTTTATTTATTTAATTTTATTATTATTATTATTATAATTTATTTATTAGTTTTTTTCTATAATTTTATATATTCATGTTTAAAAATAAAATTAGAAAATAAATAAAATATCATAATAATAAAAAATATTAAAAAAATATTATTCACTTGTATCATTAAAATGAAAAAAAATATTTTATGGAAATGAAAAAAAAATTAAAATTTAATTATAGAATAAATAAATAAAATATTATATCGTTAAATAACATCCTAGGTTAATTTTTTCAAAATCATTGCTGATAGATTATTTTAATCAAATATTACATATAGGTTAACAGATATATTATCTTCGGTAATTACGTAAAATCATTGTTGGGTGTACCATTTTTTTGTAAGTAAAAATTACAAAGTTTCTCTTTGCACATAGGGATGGATCTGAGAAAAAGAGAAAGAGAAAAAAAAAGTGAGAATGGAAATTATTTGAATTAACGAAAGAGGATAAAAAATAAAGATAAATGAGTAAAAATATTGTAAAAGATAATATTGTATTGATTTATTGAAAAATAATAAATATAAATTAATAAATGACTAAAATATTTATTATTAATTTGTTTAATTAGGTTAAAATATATGTTAATATGTATTAAATATTTTATGATTTTTTTTATTCTCGTCCCATCTTTATACAACTTAAATTTTAGTTTTTTTAATTGAAGATAACATAGAAGATAAAAAACTAAAAAAGTAGTGATTTTTTTTAATAAGTAAACCCCAAATTTTCAAACTTATAAGAACAAAATTATATTGGGAAAGATGGTGTAAAATAAAAAAAATTAGAATAGATTAAATGTAAACTGAAATAAATTAGTGCAATCATGTTTAAATGGATAATTAAATCGATTAATGACCCCTAAATTTGAAAACCTTAAAAGTAGATAATACAAAATTTCAAAAATACCCAGTTAAATTTTTTAATATAGAATAACTATGACATATATAGCACATCTCATTCATGAATCATGAGAGAGTACATAAAAAAAAGTAATCTAGGGAAAATGTAACCCTAACGAATATAAATATTAAGACTTGAGACCCACGGAATAACCATGACATAGCACATCTTATTCCTAAACCATGACAATACATATAACTATAATGAATATAAAGATTAAGACTGGAGGCGCATTCAATAGTACCTGTCAAAATACATTCATTTTAGGGAAGAGGTGGATAAGAAAACTTCTTACACACTTGTTCCTTACAATATATATGTTTTTACTCTAAATCTTTATCTTTAAATTCATATTCAGATTACATTTTTATTAATCCATCTTATTTATTTGCTTTGTATGAATGAAAATGAAATATATTATGTCATAGTTATTCAATGCATCAAACAAATATTTTTTATTTTTTGTATTACATAATTTTGATATACTGTCAGCACTACTACAGAAAACACTTTCTACGACAGCATACAACGTCGGCTATCACGAACACCGACGTTGTACAAGACGCGGTGACAAACTTGTAATTATGAGGCAAAATTTAACGTCGGTTACATAATAACCGACGTAGTAACTGCAATTCAACGTCGGTCATATTATAACCGACGTTGATTTTGGAAATTCAACGTCGGTTATATTATAACCGACATTAAATGTTTAAATTTAACGTCGGTTATGTATAACCGACGTTGAATTCCCAAAATCAACGTCGGTTATATGATTTACCCGACGTCGAAAGCGTTATCCACGTCGGGTTTTTAATAACCGACGTTGAATGTCCTTTATACATCTCGCCTTTCGCGCTCCCCTTCGTCCGCCTCTTCTTCGTCCCATATACTCCCTCCTTCCGCTTCTTCTTCTACGTGCCTCGGTCCTCACTCGCTGCCCCCTCGCCGCCCCTTCGCGCCCGGTTCGCCGGCCCTCGCTCCGCCTCCTCGCCATTGCTACCTCATTCGCTGTGGTCTGCTGCCCACTCGCCGCCCACTCGCCGCGCTCCGCCCCTCGCCGTTGCTACCTCCTTCGCCGCCCACTCGCCGCGCTCTCATCGAGGTTAGATTAAGTTGCATGGATGATTTACAACATGCATTTAACATAAATATGAATTATTTAGAGCATTTCCTGCGTATGAACATTAGAATGATGATGGATGATTTTGTATATATGGTTTGATTTGATCTAGGTTCGTTTAGGTTTCGAAGTGGTATATGGAACATTAGGTTTCGTTTAGGTTTAGGTTTAGGTTTAGGTTTAGCTTTAGCTTTCGAAGTGGTATATGGAACATTAGAGCATGTATGGAACATTAGAGCATTGTTAGGCAATGTACACGTTTTTTTGTATTGTTTTGTTAAACCTTTTCTAATAAACCTTGAATATCTAGGCAAGCCTTCTTATGTAGTTAGATGGATCGAACTTGGGTCAATGCAAGTCGTATGTCGGAAGAGTATGAGAATGGAGTTGACTCCTTTTTGAAATTTGCCGAACAAAATGCTCCCAAAATGAATGGAAAAATCTACGCCCATGCGTTAATTGTGTAAATGGCGAGTACAAGAGATGGACACAACGCGGAGCATCTTATTTGCGATGGGATGATGAAGAATTACACAATATGGACATGGCACGGTGAAGTGGTTCATATTCCAACGAGTATCACAAACTATTGAGGATGATGTAACCTGCGAAGATCGAATAGAGGACATGCTTTGTGATGTGGGTCAAGAGAGGTTTCTTGAAGCACATGCATCTATATATGATACATTGAGGACCGATTCGGAGACACCTTTGTATCCCGGATGTACAACTTTCACACGGTTGTCATCCGTGTTAAGATTGGTCAATCTAAAAGCCAAATTTGGTTGGAGTGATACAAGTTTTAATGAATTACTCCAACTTTTGAAGGAGATGCTCCCAGACAATAACACCTTGCTGGACCAGTATGTATGAAGCGAAGAAGATACTATGTCCGATGGGTTTAGAATATAGGAAGATACATGCTTGCCCTAATGATTGTGTGTTATATAGGAAAGAATTCTCATCTTTAGACCAATGTCCAACATGTGGTGTATCACGTTACAAAGCGAAGGATGGTGATGATTGTAGTCGGGAGAGTGGTAAAAAACGTCCTCCTGCAAAAGTTTTATGGTATCTTCCAATTATTCCAAGATTTAGGCGGTTGTACGCTCACGAAGATGCTTGAAAATTTAATTTGGCATTCAAAGAGAAAAACATGTGATGGGCAAATGCGGCATCCATCCGACTCTCCCCAATGGAAGAATTTTGACCAGTCTATTTCCAAGTTTTGGTAGTGATGCAAGAAACCTTAGACTTGGATTAGCAACGAGATGGGATGAATCCTTTTGGAAATTTAAGTAGTAACCATAGTTCATGGCCCGTTTTATTGATGATTTACAATCTTCCACCATGGTTATGCATGAAGCGCAAATATGTCATGTTGTGTATGATGATTTCAGGTCCAAGACAGCCAGGAAATGACATAGATGTGTATTTGAGTCCTTTGATAGAAGACTTAACACTATTATGGGAGGAAGGAGTAGATGCATTTGATGGGTATCGCAGCAGAAGTTCAAGTTGCATGCAATGTTATTTTGCACCATTAATGACTTCCC